TATATAAATATATGCACTTAAATTTAAAAACACCTAATAATACACAATTTAAAATGTGATGTACACTCTATATAAATATATTACATTTACAGCTCTATTAGTTACAAGATTTGGTTTCTTGAATATTCATATTTTATAACAGCAAATTCAGTAGATGAACTCAAGAACATGCCGAAACTCAAAATGTCAGAGATGTCCTTTAAATCCAGTTCAAATAACCTTACAGGAGAACAATGTGGAGATCGGCTAACATTAGTTTTGTCTTGTTGACAAAACTAATTGTTCATGTTGTCTCGATCATGCATCCTGAGCCCCCCTCTTTGCCCTGGACTTTACCTTCTCCACCAGAGCAGCTCCACACAGAATGTTTAAGTTTTGAATATAGTGTATCTTGTGGCTTTATATTCATGTTTGGTGTCATTTTAAATGTCTCTGTGTGATTGGTAATGTGGTCTTGATTTTACAATAATATTTTACAATCTCCTTATATCAGTTAATTTGGGGTTTGCCTTAGATAAGATCTTAGCCAGATGCTCCACTCCAGGGAAAATGATCTTCACTCAACTCATGACCAGGCAAGAGTCTTGGTGAAGCTTTTACTGTCTTGAATTTATGGATATTTGAGTATTTAGGCAAAGGGTGCAGAAGTGTCTGTGGGATCCTGTAGACAGGATACCCCATTGCAGTTTGTGAGTCTCTGAGCTCTGCACCAGGACATATATGCTGCAATGTATTTCAACATGGTCAGGTATTCATCTCCAACTCTTAAATGTATCTTTGAGTAATTGATGTTGTACAATCTTGATTGGCTTGTTTTGTTTAATTATGTGAATTGGAATGGAAAATCTTATAGATATATAAACTAGATATCGCATACGGATCCTGGGCATGCGTCAATAGCGCCGCCACATTGGTACAGTGCTCCCAGGACAAGTGTCATTCAACCGCACCAGACAAGACAGTGTTATTACGTGAAGATGCGGGACTTTAGCGATGTCTATGGATGTAGTAACAAGCAAACAAAGAAAACAAAGCACAAAGGCAGAACATTTCATAGGTAAGAGTCAGTTTTTATGTTTTTGGTTGTTCTGAACTTTTGTGCTAATCAGGTAGCGTTATTGATGATAACAGTCACTTACTGCATTCACCATACGGCAAAGCAGCTCCAACTCGCACTAAACACTCGGCTTATGCTAGTTTTGTTGAATAAAATCAGTAAACAATGCAAAAGAAATATGACAACGAGATGCTGCGCTGCCAGAAACTTGCATTATTGTCGACTAGTGAAAGAGTCGTTCATAACAGAGATTCATTTACAAACGAATCGCTCCCTCCGTCAGTATGAGAAGTGAAAGCAGGAGAGGAGCTGTGTTTCAGGACAATGATTAGGTCAAATTTAACAGGGAGGGTGAATAGTACATTTCTGTACACACAAACACAAGCTTTTTGTCAGGAATGCTCGTGCGATCACTGATCCATCAATGTAGAAAAGTGATGTAAAATTATATTTTTCGTAATTTTAAAAAATGCATACCGACCTCATAGATCATAGATATATGTGTTAATCTCTGGCTCTGGACGGCCACAGTCCTCCACTGCAGCTTTGTCCCGCATTCATTTTAAAGGAGCGCTATCCTGTACTAAAATGGCGGCTCTATTGACGCATTCCTACAACAACAGGGTAGGCGACATCTAATGTAAATATCTATGGCAAAATCTTTGCCTGACAAATAAATGTACAATTCTTGTTTAACTTTAATTTCTCCTGAAATCATTTAAATCTAGTAGATTGTTGAGGCTGATGTTTCCGCAGCCTATGACCAGGATTAGTCATACATTCAGGCTCAATGGATGGAGCATGGGCACAGCATTAGAGACCTGTTGACTTCTGACAATCACTGACTTAGTATGATATAATCTAGTGGCTAAAACAAACTTTCTTTAAGTATGTTTAAGCATGGGGCGGCCTATTATTACTTAAAGGAAATTAGCCTATCTGCTAAGAATCGGAACTGGCGAGGATGTCGACCATGGCTTGTTATTATATGTATATAAAATTATGGTGTAATGTCTCGGCTGTGTATTTAAAACATGGCAGTTTCTTTGTTTACATTTTGGCTTGGTACGTGAGCAAATGATGTATCTCTGTAAACCAATAGCATTCAGCTGCATATTTAGCTCCGCCTTTTGGTACCCTTTGCAAAGGGTGCCGAAAAATTGGTACACCTTTTGACAGTGGAAACGGCCATAAAAGTGTACCTAACCATACTGTACCATACCACTCAGTGGAAACAGGCCAATAGACCTTTTACGCACTTCCGCATTTTTCGAACGGAAATACGTCAATGTAGTGCATTAGAACTTCCTGTTGTCATAGCGGCAGATACAAAAAATGGCAGAGTCGAAGAATCGCAGTTTCTGTTGTGTTCCAGGCTGTTCGTCTTCTAACCAAAAACAGCCCTACCTTTTATTTCATTCTTTTCCTGTGGATCCAAACCTGCAACCCAAATGGATACAGGCGATCCGAAGAGAGGAAGGGCATAGTTTTCATGTAAAAACAGGTAGCACCTATGTCTGCAGCCGACACTTCGCTCCGAATGATTACAGTGGTGGCTGCATCATTCGTCTACTGAAGAGTGGTGTTGTCCCGAGCCTATTCCCTTAGAACAACTTTACAGCTCATTTGAGAAGGGAGTCAGTATATGCTGTGAAGATAGCGACACGGTGCAGTAAGCATGGATCACGACTACGTGACACACCCACCTGCATTGAGGTAAAGTTGGTTTTATATTCACACATTCCTTCATTTAGAAGTCTCTATATTATTTACCATGTTACTTTGAATATTCGATCGAAATTAGCATGCAAACATGACTTGAAAACAACATTAACACTGGTTATTTGACTGTGTACAATGCTGTACTTTGACAGTCATTGGCTGCTAATATGATTTCGCTATTTAGAGTTTGCAAATAATACTTTAAAGAAATTATATTGTTAAGGGGAAAGTCTGAATGTGCAAATATAAAATCAGCTTTACCTCTATCCCACCTGCAGTTAAGATTGTTCATAGTGTATTTAGCTAACGCTAGTCACCTGTGTGTACCGTTATGCAAATCTACCTGAACAAATTAATGTTAATAATATAAGCTGTTCACGAAACTCAACAAAAAAAATAAAATATATTTTTTTAACAATGAAACAATTTATTGCTGTGACATCTAGTAAATACACTAAGTTTTATCATACTAGCATGTGTGGAAGTGTTTAAAACAAGTGTGTTACAACTGGCCCTGTGTTAGGTTCTGCCCCGCTCTCCCCTATTTTAATTGCATGTATTTAATTACTTATTTAATCAACTTCGGAAGACAACTCAGGCTCGCCGAAAACACTCTAGCTGCCATTTCTCCGCCAAAAAAACTCATACCGGAACTGGGTTTACACATTGTTTACGTACTTTCGGTTTTTGCGTAAAAGGTCTATAGAGAACTCAGTCTGCTGTATATTTACTTTAAATGTCTATTGCAGTCACTGTCTACACTGCAAATGAAGTTGGTGTTTACTTGTCAGCGTTTGTCAAATACAGATTTCTACACTTTTTTTTTTTACGCAGTGGGTGTTTCACTGTGGTTGTTTGCAGTGGACAGCTGATTCACAAACACATTCATATTATCCACATTCTACTTTTCAGTTTTATATATAATTTATATATATAAGGGTATATTTTAATATATAATTAAGTCTATCCATATATTATTAGCTCTATTTATCATTCAGATTAAACGAAATAGAAAACTAATTAAATAAAGTCATTATAATAACAACTTTTAAAGATCTACAGTATCTGTGCAATGCAGAGATGGACCCAGAAGTGTTGTTAAAAAGTAAAAGTAAAATATTTACTCTGTATTTTTAAAGTGCAAAATAAATAAATAAATAAAAACATTTAGAAGATTGCATTTTAATTCAGTATTATGAAATTATTTGTAATTTATTTATTAAAAGGTAGCACAGATATCAAATTTACACCACAAAGCAGGTGGCGGCAGGACACTGTCATTCATGAGAAGATTTAATAAAGTATTTAACTCTGGGACATTTATAACAGATAATATAAATCTAAATTCATAGCAGCATCAAAGTAAAAATAAATCCATTATAGAGGAAACAAACTGAATTAGAAGGGAGAGGTTGCAAACATAAACTTTCCTTGATAAACAATAGCTTATTTCTATTCTTAATAACTTAATCATTTTCAGACACAGACAGCAGTTCAGTTTTACCTGATTTATTATATTATGCTACTTAGACCCAATAATTTCTCAACATTCCTAGCACCAGGTTTAATTGCAATAAAAACATTTTATTTGGGTGTAATGGAACTGTGAAAAACAAAAGCACACACAAAAATTAAAATAATGTAGTTAAATTTAAGTGGAAAAACTGCTTATGTGGCTTTTTTTTGGCTTTTTGACTGCAGTTCTCGGACTCGGTAGGTAGCACTGTCATAAAAAATTAGGGTCCTATAGGAATGCGGCCCTGAAAGTGCAACCTTCAATTTTGCAGGCAGATAATATTGGCTGACACTGTCATGAATGCTGATTATTAATTTTTCCGGCTGCAGTGCTCACTCATGAACACTAGAGGACGCAGTGAAATACACCATGAAAAATCGAAGCACAGACCGTGAGCAGAAACACACAAAGCAAAAGTGAAAGGAGACTTATCATTAAAATACATGCAAGGTTACAAAGAACGGTCATTATTGCAGAGGAAAATCATACAGCAAACCTTTACACGTACAAAAGTGATTCATGTTTTTTTTATTGATGATCAATAACTTTATAAACCAACATAGAGGCAAATACTTTTTCATCGTACAGTATATCTGTCAAACGAGGAATGAAATGGCAGAAAGAAATACTGCATCAATACAGGCCTACTATTATTGAGGTTTATGACTACTTTATATGTGAAAAACACAAAAAAATGTGTCTTACCTTGTAAGCAGGCACCACTTCACCGATGGGTCTGAATTTGTGATTGTCGTGTTGCTGTGAGGTTACACACACCAAACACACCGGCTGCTTGTCCTCCAGACAGAAGAGCTTGAGTTTCTCACCGTGTAAACTGCACGTCTCCTCTGATCCTGATGAACGTTTCTCTTTTTTCTCCTGATGAAATGATTCACACAAGTTTCTTAACACAAGATTATTTGGAGGATCATCTCTAGAGGATCTTCTCCTGCAGACAACACACTCCTGAGTGCCCTTAGTTCTCCAGAACTGCTGAAGACACTCTCTACAGAAACTGTGACTGCAGGATAACACCACAGGATCCTTGAAGATTTCACAGCACACAGAACAAGAAATATCTTCAACGGAAACTTTCAGCGAAGCCATTTTTACAGTTCGAGCTCAAATTACTTTACTTTCACTTTGTGAATGAATGACTGAATCCAGCTTCTTATTCGCAGCATCTTATTGGCGCTATCCGGTCCACCTTAAAAACCGCGACGCTTCCGTTTTTCAGCTTCTTATTCGCGCGCTCAACTTAGGGAGCGTGTTTATTTGTGTTCCTTTTTGAAAAATGAAAAATGCTAAATGAAACTGGTATAAGATAGAAAACGGGCTGCAAGCATGAAATCTAATTGCATCATTGATTAATTTTTGACAGTGCCATCGTTTGAGTACAATATATTTCTGTTTTTTCCAGAAATAGTCCTTTATGAAGACTTCACATGACCCACCTATGAATAGACAGTGCCTGCCTCTGCAAGGATTTCAGATACAAAACAATTGTTTTATTAATGCAAGTTGTAAAAGTTAATGCATGTTTTATCTGCAAATACTACAATTTGTATTAGATTTCGGTAGTTTTTTTTTTTCTGACAGCCACGCCTGTAAATACAATTCTAGTTTTGTTAAACCATATTGTTTCAAAGAACAGACAATGCACTTTTTATACACATTTTTATATACCTTATACAAATAAATGTGAATTAAACTTAATGAGCTATTGCATAATTGAATACTGTACCATGTTTTCTCTAATATTACACAACAGGTTAATAGTAAATATGTCTATACATGCGTCTGCATATGTATAAATATGTATAATTCTATCCCATTGTGAAGACAGACCTAAAAACGGTCAAAATACAGTCATTTCAATAAATGCCCAGTTGGAGGTGCTATATGCCAAGTTTTTTGCATAATCATTTAATGTTTTCTTTGTAACCTTTATGTATGTGTGTGCCTACTACATACTATATATGTGTGTACTATAAACTATATGTGTGTGTGTGTGTTCACATTAAAAATGTTTAGCACTAAAGATAATAATAATATGTTTGTGTTATAAATTTACACAAAATAAAGATGCTAATGTAACGGTTAAAATAATGTTTAATTGTCTTTCACCAAAATGGGTTATTTTGTTTATTTTGTGGTTGTTGAGAGACCTCTTGTGGCAACAGTGTGTAATTGTTTCTTTCACCTTTCACCTGCAAAGCCCCGCCTACAGCAGAAAATGTTTGTTGAATACAGAAAGGCAATGCATGTTTAAATGCATACTGTTGCCAGCGGATGTATATTTCTGTTACAGAATAAACAACGCAGAACGCAGTTCTCTGTGTCCGCCTGAGTGATTTGTGTCATCAGGAAGAGAAGCGTTACACTGGTGCCGTGACCTGTGGCATCGCGAGGATCTGCACAACGCAGATCGCCGCGTGGTTGCTGAAATTTGAGGATCGCTGTCTGATTGCTGATCTTTGAAGACTGTTGCGTGATTGATAAACTCTGAAGATCATAACGTTTTTCTGAACCCTGAAGATCGTCGCATGATTGCTGAACTTTGGAAAATCCTGTGTTTTTATTGCTAAATTGAAAACTGACTGTTGACTGGTTGGTCATTTGGTTACATATATATTTTTTTATCTCTTTTTCTTTTCTTTCAGGTTATCTACATCCTTGATTCAAGGGTAAAATTGTACTTTGGACTCAGAACACTATTTTTTTCTTTATATATGTATAATTGTGTTATTGTTATTCCTTACATTCAATTATGGCCGAAAAATTTCCTTCTGATTGTGATACAACAAGCCCATTTGTTCCAAGAGGGAGGGGCGCTTTACTTACTGGGGTATACAATGATGTTACTTTGCGTAATGAGTCATTCCCTGGTACTGAGCATGTACAAACGGTGCGCGATAACACTATGGGTGTTGGTCGTGGGTACAGCTTAAGAAATCAAACATTGGGACATTTTCCTGGGCATGGTCCTTTTGTTTCAACTCCAAAAGCTGATAATACTGACCAAACTTGGCAGCAAATAACAGACATGATGGGCTGACTTGGGGCTCAAATAGGCGATTCGATCATGGCACGGCTTGCTAAGACTGGGGTTGTTAATTCCAATTGCGCCTTGCACAACAGCAAAGACCTGGATGTCGACAGTGTCAGACAAGATGTGCCTCAAGTCACTGTTCACGTTAAAGCAGAAAGAGAACCAGTAATGTTTAAAGGTGATAGTTCGGATAAATATTCTGTCCGTAACTGGATTGATTTGACAAAATCACAGCTAATCAAACAAAAGTGTCCAATATCTGACCAAGCTGATGAGATAATGTCAAGGCTAATGGGCAAAGCTAGGGACATTGTGAAAATTGGATTGAGGAGTGATACTTCTCTAAATGCCGTACGCAACCCTGACATTATCTATTAAATTCTGCAAAGATGCTGATTTTTATTCAACGTACCCAGAACCAAGAGAAAATCCAGTCGATTACTGGATCAGGCTTAACAAATCAGCGGATTTGGCTGAAAAAGGATTGCGCAGACAGGGTAGATTTATGGATAACATTAGCATGGAAGTGACGCGCAAGTTTGTGAAACATTGCCCCGACCCTGAATTGTTGTGTTTTTTTAAATGCAAACCGATTGATGAGTGGAATGCGAGGGACATTCAACGAAGGTTGAATGACTATCAAAGAGAAAAAAGAACTCCCCTGAGCAATCTTAATCCTCGTCCTCGATACACTGTCGCTTTTATTCACTGCACTGACCCACCAAATACTGATTATTGTCAGTCTAACATTCAAACAGACCTGTCTAATGTTCCTCCAGCTGTTCCGAGTCGCTTGTCTGGGGCTCAGTGTATTGACCCAGTCGCCTACACGAAACAAAACGTGCAGAAGCATGATAGTGAGATCTTCAGTCGGATGATGAGTATGCTTGAACAAGTGCTAGAAAAGGTGGCACAAATTTCTAGAGTCCCGAGCCCTCAAAATGTAATTTACAGGCAAGGTAGTGTACAATGTGATGTTTGTAAGGCTAACACGCACACCACCAAAACTCATTGCTTTAGAGATAGGCTTTGGTTCTCTTGTTTTTCACCAGGTCACTCACAGAATGTATGTCCACGCAGGGTGTCAGCTCGGCGCAACCAGAGTGGGGGAAACTTATAGACCCGTATATGGTGGGGGGATGTGCGGGTCTAGATGATAACTCCTATGAGAATGTTGCCAGTGCTGAAGCTGCAGATGCGGTGAGTGTAGATTTTGGTGAGTTGACAGAAAATGTAATTGTACAGAACACAAACATAATTAGCAGTAGTTCTAGTTTGTTTTACACACCAGTCATCGTGGAGGACAAGTTGACTCTTGGCGGAATGCTTGATAGTGGGTCAATGGCCTGTACGATGAGTGAAAAAGCAGAGGCCAAACTCCTCGATGCTGGTGTGTTGACAAAATAGAATAGATTCAATTTTGATGCAGTCCTGATAGGGTGTGGTGGCACTCGAGTGAAGCCTAAATCTGCTTATGATATTGAGATGGAAGTTTATGGTTGCAAGATCATTGTGCCTACGCTAGTTGTTCAGGCCAACTAGACGAGCTAATAATCGGGACAAATGTGATTAAACGTGCTCTGTGAGTCTAAACGTTGTCCTGCATACTGGAATGCCTTGTCTCATCCATGTCTGAATAATTATCAGGAATCAGAAAGATTCCTTTCCATGTTGGCTGGGATGGAACGCTGGAAGGGTGAAAAAAAAACCCAGACAAGATCGGTACAGTCAGATGTACGTCAGCAGTGTGTTTGGAACTGGGCGTGAATACTTCGTTTGGGGTAAGTTGAATAAGTCTTGTGTCATTTCACCCGGTAGTACTGTGATAACTGAACCTACTACTTTTAGATCGGCCCCTAGGCACGTGTTAGTGGCTAGACTTGTTACACCTTTGTGGGGTGATGGTTGGGTGCCGCTGAAGCTGATTAATTTGTCTCATCAGCAAATTTTGTTGAGACGCAACGCAAAAATTGCTGATGTGTTTGCATGCGTGACACTTGAGGATTTGGAGTATGTTGTACCCACCTGTAATGATGATCCACTTTTTAACTGTACTCAAAGGGTTGACTCCAAAACTTACCTAGATCGACGGGAGGATTTGGTTAAACAGTTGGAAGATGCTGGTCTGGGAGCATTATATATTTACTCGTGTGAGGCTTCTGAAGACTGTAAGAATAAGCTTCGAGAACTTATTTTGCAGTACGAGAATATTTTCTCTCGGTATCACCTTGATTGTGGTAAGGCTGAGGGATTTGTACACAGAATTCATGTCACTGATACCAAACTATTTCGCCTACCTTACCGAAGAATATCTCCGAGCCAGTATAAGGTCCTCCGCAAAGTCCTAGACGAGATGGAAAAAAGAGAAATAATTCGTAAATCGACCGGCGAATTTGCTTCTCCACTAGTGCTGATTTGGAAAAAAACGGTGACTTGCGCACCTGCACCGATTTCTGGTGGCTAAATAGACGAACGTTTAAGGATGCATACCCGCTTCCCCATCAAGCTGATTGCTTGCCAGCACTTGGTGGTAATTGTTTGTTCAGCACCTTAGATCTTACATCTGGGTTTTACAATATGCCCTTGCATGATGATGACAGAAAATATTCCGCATTTACTACACCGGTGGGGTTGTATAAATATAACCGCCTTCCACAGGGGTTGTGTAACAGTCCAGGTAGTTTTATGAGGATGATGACTGCAATCTTTGGTGATCAGAACTTCTTAAGCTTACTTTGCTATCTCGATGATCTACTTGTTTTTGCCCCTAATGAGAAGATCGCTTTGGAGCGTCTCGAGATGGTGTTTAGTAGGTTGAGTAAACACAACTTAATGCTTTCACCAAAGAAATGTTGCTTTCTCAGACGATCAGTGAAATTTCTCGGGCATATAGTTGACGAAACAGGCATCTCTACTGATCCATGTAAAGTTGACAGTATTGCCAGAATGACTTATGCTGATTTGATGGAGCAGGATGGTGTGACTCCAAGTCAAAAACGCGTACGGTCATTTCTTGGCTTAATTAACTACTACCAACATTTTATACCCAAGTATTCATCCATTGCTAGACCTCTCTTCGATTTACTTTCAGGCCAGATGAGGAACTCTAAGGGTGGCTGGAGGAGGAAAAGATCTCTGCAGAGCTGTAAGTTACGTCCTGAACATTGGACAGAGGATCATGTCAGATCTTTTGAGGGGCTTAAGTCATCTTTGATCAACAGCGTAGTTTTGGCTCACCCAAAATTCGATCAGCCCTTTATTCTATCTACCGATGCCTCATTAGATGGCCTCGGAGCTGTTTTGTCTCAAGTGCAAGAGGGAGATACAATGGCTAGGCCAATTGCATTCGCCAGCAAATCGCTTTCTCGGTCACAAAGAAATTATCCTGCTCACAGGTTGGAATTTTTGGCGTTAAAATGGGCAAGTTTAGCCACTGGCTAAAAAGTAACAAGTTCACTGTCTGCACTGATAATAATCCGCTGACCCATATTATGACTAAGCCAAAATTGGATTGTTGCGAGCAGCAATGGGTAGCAAAGTTAGCCAGCTATGATTTCGAAATGAAGTACATCCCTGGTTCTTGGAATCTAGTTGCTGATGCTTTGAGCCGCGAACCATTTGTGCATGTGGGACACAGGTTGTTGCATGAATCTTTTGATTGTCTCAGAAACAATATGACTGAGATGTCTGATGTTTCTGTTCAAAATGCGTTTAGACAGTCAACAAATAGCGATTAATTTCCTCGGCCTGATTCTGTTTTCCACAATGGCATGACTTTTTCAAGTGATGAGGTTTCAGCATTGTTTCGGTTCCATAATGACTGGGAGACCGGAGCACAAGTATGTGCGTTATCAAATTTACACTGTGTGCCTCAGGTGGTTGATAATGACTTTGATTGTCTTCCTGCGTACACAGTGAGTGAGCTTCGTGACAAACAACGCAGCGATAGTATTTTATCTCGTGTTGTGGAGTATGTAGAGAGACGCTGTAGGCCCTCGAGAAGAGAGAGAGCGCATGAACCTTTTCAAGTTGTAAGGTATTTGAAACATTGGGAGAAATTTAAGATGGTCGATGGAGTGCTTTACAGGGTGTCGAAGGATAGCTTTTTGAAGACAAGGCGTTTCCAGTTTGTAGTCCCTGAATCACTTAAAGTCGAGGTAATAAAAGGAACACATGATCATGCAGGCCATCAAGGTCAGTTCAGAACCCTCAGTCTAGTGAGGCAACGTTTTTTCTGGTTATCTCTCGACAGAGATGTGCGTGAATACGTACGTCAATGCCAGCGTTGTGTCGTCAGCAAGACCGCCGAACCCAGTGATAGAGCTCCTCTAGTTAACATACAGTCAAGCAGACCTCTACAGATTGTCTGCACTGACTTTTGGTCAGCAGAAAACTCACAAAAACAAATCTGTTGATGTTCTTGTTGTGACCGACCATTTTACTAGACTGGCTCAGGCCTTCTTGTGTAGAAATCGGTCAGCTAAGGAGGTAGCCAAGGTTTTATGGGACAAATTCTTCTGCATCTATGGCTTTCCTGAGAGAATTCACTCCGATCAAGGAGCTAACTTTGAGAGCAATCTTTTCAGTGAACTTCTAAGAGTGTCAGGTGTTAGGAAATCCCGTACAACCCCATACCACCCAATGGGGAATGGTGCTGTCGAACGATTTAATAGGACGCTTGGTAATATGATTCGTGCATTGCCTCCTGGAGAGAAGTCTGATTGGCCGAGGCGGTTACAGTCTCTCACTTTAATGTACAACTGTACGGTGCATGAGACTACGGGGTTTGCACCTTTCTACCTCATGTTTGGGAGGGTGCCCCGTCTGCCTATAGATCTAATGTTTCGAAGTGTCTTGAGTGACTCAACAACTACGGATTTTTCCAAGTATGTGTCTTCACTTATGAAGGATCTTTCTGAAGCAATGAAAATAGCTCAGAAACATGCTTCTAAGGAGCAACATCGTCATTCTGTGCTGTATAATAGGAAGACAAAAGGGTCGGATATTAGCATCTCTGATCGTGTACTGTTGGCGAATCGTGCTGAAAGGGAAAAGAAAAAAATTTCAGATCGTTGGGAGACTGCAATCTACATCGTGATTGAAAAATTTCCTAACACAAACATATACAGAATTCGTAATACTACCACTGGCCAGGAGAAGGTAGTTTACCGTAATTTGTTATTACAAGTCAACTTTCTTCCACTGACAGATGATTCTGGATCCTTGTCCCCTTCAAGTGATCCAGGAGCAGATGTTTTCTCGTCAGCTTAGAATTCCCTTTTGCACGATGCTGACTTGTGCTTAGATCAGAATGAGAATGTAGATGGTGTCCCTTGTGGTAACTGTTTGGATGAGTCCATCAATGTGAGTTCTGATGGTGACATGGGCACTACTGCTGTTGGTGAGTTTGATAGCGTTATCCCTATTCCAGCTGACTCAGTGTCTATCAGAGATGATCTGTTCGTTGTTGAGGACACTGGAACGATCTGTTCTAATGTAACAGGTGTTGGTAGAACTCTGGAATGGGTCTCTCAGTTACCTGAGGATAACTCTGATCGGGCTGACCTACACAGTGAAATGTCTTGTCCTGCTAGCACAACAGCCAGTCTTGATGTGGTGAATACAATGAGTGATGTACCTCTTGCTCGTCCTGAGCAACCTGCTGATTCCGTTCCACTACCCAGTCAGCCATGCAATTCAAGTGGTAGTCTAAGACAAGTCCAGAATGACTTTCCCCGTGTATTTACCCGAGCGACATCGCATTTTGGACGTGTCATCAGACCAGTGAATAGACTACTCTATACTATGTCAAGACAAGATGTAAGCCATAATTCTAGGGGTTATGTAACATCCATTTGTAAGTCAATTGTTCAAGCTCTTCGAGAGTAGTTTTTTTTTTTGAGACAGTTAATGGATGTTTTGCAATTGAGATTTGGGAATTAAAGAAGTTCTGCTTCTATGTGATTTTTTTTCTTCCTCTCTCCTCTTTACTCTTAAGGCTAATAATAGTGGTATTATTTAATTTATTTATTTTCTCAAATATTTTTATAGGTATACACATTTTACTGTAACTTTGATGTATTTTGTCGCAGAGTTGTGGGGTGTATATTGGGCATCCTGCAGACAGTTGATAAGTTGAGACTATGTAATGTGTATTTATATAGTGCATTTATTGTGTATGGCCATACACCCAAAGCGCTTCACAATCATGAGGGGGTCTCTCCACACCACCACCAGTGTGCAGCATCCACTTGGATGATGCGACGGCAGCCACAGGACAACGGCGCCAGTGCGCTCACCACACACCAGCTATTGGTGGAGTGGAGAGACAGTGATTGAGCCAATTCGGTGGAAGGGGATGATTGGGAGGCCATGATCGTAAGGGCCGATAGAGGGACTTTGCTCCACCCCTGCTCTTTCACTAGAAGTGCCATGGGCGCCAGTCTCTTCTTTATTCATCCTTACGGGATACTTTGATAGTTGTTAGTTTCTCTGTGTGCTAGTCTTGTATTTTGACAGATCATTGTGTGTATTTTATCGTTTTTTTCGCATGTTCGAGATTTTGGTGAAATTCAGCTGGGATGGATGTAACAGGGTTAAAATAATGTTTAATTGTCTTTCACCAAAATGGGTTATTTTGTTTATTTTGTGGTTGTTGAGAGACCTCTTGTGGCAACAGTGTGTAATTGTTTCTTTCACCTTTCACCTGCAAAGCCCCGCCTACAGCAGAAAATGTTTTTTTTAGATGCATGTTTAAATGCATACTGTTGCCAGAGGATGTATATTTCTGTTACAGGTATGTTGAACTTTTGTAAATAAATAATGTTTTGTTAAAATGACTTTATGTGGCAACACAGCAGAAAATGGTTGCTGAATGCAGAAAGGCGATGCATGTTTAAATGCATACTGTTGCCAGAGGATGTATATTTCTGTTACAGAATAAACAACGCAGAACGCAGTTCTCTGTGTCCGCCTGAGTGATTTGTGTCATCAGGAAGAGAAGTGTTACATTGACATAAATGGAGTAATACCGAATTACCTAATGGTAATACCAAATTAAATCCAAGCACTTCGCACTTCACACAGAATTAATGTGTTGTCATATTAATTATCATTACAACTGTAAACTTTCCTTATGCGAATATCACTGGAGTCTCCTGGACCAATGGAGCAAATTCATTATTAAGTATAGTTTTATTCTCTGTCTGTTAAACACAACAGAAGATATTTCAAGAATGTTGGAAACACTTCTGGGAAAATCGTTTTTCCTACTATAAATGTAAATGCTAACGGGTTTCTAGCATTCTTAAAATATTTTTATTTGTTCTTCTACAGTTGACGCTGCACAAACTCATGGGTAAGACTTCTTTGAGCATGCAAAATGAATTCGGACAGTGCTGTGAAAAGGGCGGGATAAAACAGGATGATGCTGAAATGAATGTTTTAAATATCTGTACAGAGACGTCAAGTTTTGTTCTTCTGTCATGATGCAAATCACATCCCAAAGTTCAGTAAATTTTACCTCTGGAATGCAGTAAAATGTAAAACCTTTTGAATGAGCTTGCATGTCTGGTGCTTTTGTGTGTGACTGAATAAAAGCCAAAAGGAAAAAAATGTGCAGTGTGACTAAGTGCTTTACTAAGCTGTAGCAACCAGACAGACTCCAAACAATGCCTTTTTAATATGCTTTATTTGTGGCAGAAATGATTAAACAGAATCCCCCAAAACAAACCAAGACAACAGCTTATATAGGAAGGTGGATGCATACAGAAATGGCATGATGATTATACTTGTACATGATTGGCTACTCTTATATATAACATGTTGTAATATATTGTATATTGTTAGTCATGAAATTATTTAGTATATGTAACCATCTAGACTTCTGTGTGTTGCGCACAGAAACCTCAGACTACATTGTGTGCAGAATTATTAGGCAAGTTAGAATTTTGTTTGTGGCAAAGCACTTCAGAGTATGCTCGTCTGCTGGTCGCACAGTCAATCTTTCAGCCAGTCGACAGTGGCCTCAGGTAGGTTTACGCGAGAAAAGCACGGTTGCGAACGGCAATCACGAGAGGCAGTTGAGATGCTAAAAATCGCACACAGCGGCTTCTGGCTGATTCGCCAAAACAAAAACTGCAATACATACCTCTAAGGATGTTTTTCGCAGTCTCCAGAAACGTCCACGGGACTACGTTTTCAGGATGAGCCTGGGTTGTATGTGACGCAACAATATCTTAGCCTTTTAAAGAGCCTCCCTCTGGAAGATTATTTACAATTTTGGATTTTTCTGAGTCAATAAATGTTATTTTTTGGGGGGTTTATTTTGTCAGAGGAAAAGCTGCTGCCTAATAATCACCTACATAACTGTATTACAATGTTGTATTGCTCAGGTTGAATCACCTGATATGCTCAAATCAAAAGCATTTAATTTGAATTACTTGTAGTAATTAATGCATACTATTTCTGTAATTAGTGACTGCATAAAAATGATGATATTGTCAAAATAATCACTTGCCTAATAATTCTGCACACATAACACAAGATGTTATCCTGGAAGAACTTAAATGTTAGTTTTAATCAATTCATTTCTGTCATGCCCTAAACCTCCTGTCCAGGTCTGTGTGCATAAGCATTATTACAACCCATCAGATCTTCTTGCTGTTCTTGTTTTCATCCTCTTCCTCCTGAAAGAAAAGCCAGACCTCAGTTCTCTGCAGTATGTGTTATTCTGAGTGTTGTTTGCAATCCCGTCACCTTAATCGCAGCAGTACATGACTGCATCATTGAGAGCGGTGTCGTCCCATATTCCCTGTGGCCCTTCAACCAGAGTCTTGATGCCACAAATTCCTTTTCCCTGACAGGTTTTGCTCCAAGAGCCCCAGTCCCCCCAGTCTGTGCCATCACCATTTAGCTCATAACCATCACTGCATCTGAACCTGGAGTAATACAGATGTAAAGCAATGCTAAACCTATTTCTCAAGAGCACCTATGATCATCTTTTGTAAGCTGTTTGGACAGAACTGTGTGTAGGTATAGTGTGCCCTCAGTCACATTGGAGTGATAGAAACACAACAAAATATTTCCTGACATTAAAACAGGACACAAATTATAGTGATTTTGAGGCACAAAGCAGGGTGACGTAGGAGAGAGGGAGCAGTGGCGGTTCTAGTCTAAGGGTGCTTTCACACTAGGACTTTTGGTCCGCACGCGGGTTCGTTTGACGTATGTTTAGCTAGTGTGAACGTGTCTTCTGAACTCGGGTGCACACCCCTGAACCGTACCCGAGTCCCCCTGAAAGAGGTGGTCTGGGGTACGGTTCATGCGAACTCTGGCACGGTTCACTACTGATGTGAATGCAATCGTACCAAATCACGTAAGTGAACCGCCAACTGTACAACAAACTATTGTTTTCATAAAGTTCGTTCGTGTGTGTGTGTGTGTCTGTGTCACGTTTCGTACCTTGGTGACTCATGTAAGACTGAGCCTGGGCAAACAGTGACACACAGTGATGTCAGCTTGTCTCCTCCAAAAACAGCTTCTGCAGACACTGTGTGATGTTCTGATGTTTATAATATGTTTGCGGCAGATGGACGCAAGTCGTTTTCTGTATGTCCGAAACCAAAAGCTTCAGTAAAAGCAGAATGACCTTGGTGATACTGTGTCTCCAGGGCCCGGTTTTTCAAAAGGTTTAATCCGGATAAAATTGATCCGGATTTAGTAATCCTGTTTTTGCGATCTGTGATCACGTAATCCAGCTTACTTTTTGAGCCAGTTTTTCAAAGCAACTTCGGATTGGAGCAAACTGATCCGGATAGGAACTTTTCAGGATTACTAAATCTGGATTACCAGTGCTCAAACAGGATAGGACATCACAATGTAGAACTATAGATATGTAAAGAGCGACAAGTAGAATAGCCAGCGTGGGGTCAATATAACTTTATTTTTATTTGAAATGAAAACAAAGAAAATATAATAATTATTCAAATACTAATAAAAATAAATAATAAAAACAAGAAAAAGCCCCACCCCATCCTCTTCCAGCAGTCCACTCATCTGACACCTACAACACTGTACATTGAGGATATTTATAATAAGTTTCAAATATAGATGTAAATAAAAAAAAAGACTTAATGTCAAAAACTCCACAATAATTTCAGACTTCCTCATCTGATGTGGAGAGAGCAGCTTGTCTGAGCGTAGCCTTTAGGAGGCGGATTTTAAGTGTGGTCTTGGTTTGCTGCAGTTTGGTCAGAGTCAGTTGTTCCTCTGCAGATGAAGCTGTGCTTCTGCCCTTTCGGTCTCTTTTTGCAATTGTTGAAAGAGATTTCAAAAATCAGCCATTGCCATTCTTTGCATTTTTTTATTATTCTGTAATCATCGCATGCATCACTTATAAATATTCTGAAAGAAAAATATTTTCCATTGTAATGAATATATATATCTATTAGTAACATAATAAAATGTATTGTTTTTGGTCAGTTTTGACAGCTGTTTGGGGGATTATTTTATGAGGCCAAACTCTTTCTACTTTGCTGTAGGCCTATACTGAAAGGCTGAATACGTTAAAGCCGATACTCACTATAGCCTGACAGATGAACAAATAAAATGAAAACCTTATGAATAAATAGTATATCTCGTAAGATACTGCATGATCCAAAAATAGTATTATTTGAAATTTTTCAATTTTCATGACATTTCGGGCATGAAATCCACACTAAATCCACCCTTCTGATGGGATCAGTTTATTCCAGGTTTTTTGGATCAAAGTGATCCAGATCCTACAAAAAAGGTCTGAAAAACCCAAACTAAAGGTTTAACCTGGATCAAAACCAAGATTGGTTTACATGATCTAATCCGATTACGTAATCAGTTTTTTCTTTTGAAAAACCCATTTTCCAGATTTGATCCAATCCCTTATCCAAAATCCTAGTGGATTACTTTAATCCGGATCAAATTGATCCGGATTTAGTAATCCTGTTTTTATGATCTGTGATCACGTAATCCAGCTTATTTTTTGAGTCAGATTTTCAAAGCAACATCGGATTGGATCAAACTGACCCGGATAGGAACTTTTCAGGATCACTAAATCTGGATTACCAGTGCTCAATCACAATGTAGATAGACAGGCCTGTGTAAAGAGCAACAAGTAGAATAGCCAGTATGGGGTAGATATAACTTTATTTTTATTTGAAATGAAAACTAAGAAAATTTAATAAATAATAAAATAATAATAATAATAAATAATAAAAACAAGAAAAACCCCACCCCATCCTCTTCCAGCAGTCCACTCATCTGACACCATTGAGGATATTTATAATAAGTTTCAAATATAGATGTAAATAAAAAAGACTTAATGTCAAAAACTCCACAATAAGTTCAGACTTCTTCATCTGATGTGGAGAGAGCAGCTTGTCTGAGCGCAGCCTTTAGGAGACAGATCTGGTGTCATTGGCCTTGGTTTGCTGCAGTTTGGTCAGAGTCAGTTGTTCCTCTGCCAGATGAAGCTGTGCTTCTGCCCTTTCAGTCTCTTTTTGCAATTGTTGAAAGAGAAATCTAAAGTCATTGCCATTCTTTGCATTTTTATTTTTATTTTTGGTTATTCTGTAATCATTGCATGCATCACTAATAAATATTCTAAAAACAAAAATATTTTCCATTGTGATGAATATATATATATATATATATAAATTAGTGACAGAAATTTTTGTATTGTTTTTGGTCAGTTTTGACAGCTGTTTGGGGGATTATTTTATGAGGCCAAACTCTTTCTACTTTGCTGTAGGCCTATACTGAAAGGCTGAATACGTTAAAGCCGATACTCACTATAGCCTGACAGATGAACAAATAAAATTAAAACCTTATTAATAAATAGGTTATCTCGTAAGATACTGCATGATCCAAAATAGTATTATTTATGAATTCTTTTTAAGTTTTCATTACATTTTGGGCATGAAATCCACACTAAATCCACCCTTCTGATGGGATCAGTTTAATCCAGTTTTTTTGATCCTACAAAAAAGGTCTGAAAAACTCAAACTAAAGGTTTGATCCGGATCAAACCAAGATTGGATTACGTGATCTAATCCGATTATGTAATCTGTTTTTTTTTTTGAAAAACCCATTTTCCAGATTTGATCCAATCCCTTATCTAAAATCCTAGTGGATTACTTTTGAAAAACTGGGCCCAGGTGATGACGCCGCTTAAATGGAGGCAGGTCCGGACCTACCGTAAACACTCAAGTTCCCTTGACTCCACCCCCTTGTGAAATCAGGGCCACAAAGTGAAACGTGCAGAAACGTAAAGTGCAAAGTGAAAACAGCATCTCAAACTCAAGGTTATTCATTCATTCTTTCATTTTCTTTTCGCCTTAGTCTCTTTATTAATCCCGGGTCACCATAGCGGAATGAACCGGCAACTTATCCAGCAAGTTTTTACGCAGCAGATGCCCTACCAGCCGCAACAAAACATCACAGACAATTTAGCCTACCCAATTCACCGGTACCGCATGTCTTTGGACTGTGGGGGAAACCGGAGCACCCGGAGGAAACTCAAGGTTAAATATATGCAAATATTTCAGTTTTTTCATTTTTGCACTGCTGGATTTTTATTTGCAGTTTTTTTTTTTTTTTTGATTGCAGTTTTTTTTTTATTTCTCAAAACTTAATTTTCCCTTTGCGGTTCTTTATTTTGGTTAAAATTAAATTTTTGCTTTGTGATTTTTGGACATTTGCATTTATTCATTCATTTATTTTCTTGCTCAAAACTTTATTTTTTGTTTGCAATATCTCTTTTATTTTGCAAGTATAGTATGTGGTCCTATATTGACTCCATATGCATTAAATACTTTTTTCTGTGTTTGATTTAAGTCAATGTTACATGATTGTTTTCAGCATCCTCACATGATGTTGTTTGCTGCCGAGTCATCTTCAATTCCTTGAGGAGACTCAACTCTCAACCTGAAAGCTTTCAGGAATCCAGATCTACACCAATCGACAGGTGTCCACTCGCCCCAGCTGAAGAACAGACACAATAGGGTTCAGTCAGATCAAACATTTATTGTTGTATCTTTAACATTTAATGAAAAACAAACTAAAAAAAAAATAACCCAAGGTAATTACTTTGAAACTTTGGACTCAACTACAGCAACAACATTGGAGACGTTGTCCGGACTGACACAGTAAAGACGAATCCCATTGACTGACGTCTCATCAAGTGAAAAGGGGGAAGATTCCTCCACCTTAAAACAGTAACACCATTAATACAATCCTCCACTAAAAAATGGTGATGAATTTCACTCTGCCAATTTCCACAACTCCCAAGTTCTATTGATTTCACAGTGCAGGACTGTCTGAGGTAGCATTCAGTTGCTCATTTGTTCACATTTGATGGTGAATTGGTGACACTTGTGTACACACTAAGGGCCCTATCATACACCCGGCGCAGTGTGGCACAAGGCATGGCGCAATAGTCTTTTGCTAGTTTCAGCTTGGCGCAAGAGTGGTTTTGAGGTGTTGAGCTACGCTGTTTAAATAGCAAATGCATTAGCGCTCATATGTGCGCCCATAGGCGTTCTGCTCTAAAAAGGAAGGTGTTCTGAGGCGGACCGCTGGCGCGTTGCTATTTTGAGAAACTAAAATAGATTTTTCATTAGACCAAAACAAACCCGGTCTAAACTCCAGCACAGAGTTGCGCCTCGCTTACACACTGCTTAATACACACAAGAGAGCAATAGGCAAATATCTTTACATATGAAAACATTTAAATATTAAGGATATATATAGGATATAATAAGAATAGATATAGGATATAAATATAAAGGACTAAAATATAACAAAACATATTATTTTCTAGCCTACATAAATATGAAAAATCACTGCTTTTATGTCTTCTTCATCTCGGGAGGCTTTTTCAGTTCATTCATAACAATTTGTTTTGTATACCGTTATTATTATTAGCAGTATTATTTATTATATCCATATTTATATTTGTTTTATTAAAAACAAGCTTAGATTTGCCCACTTGTCAGGTTTTAGACCATATGGGGCACAGCATGTGTTTTAGGATATAACTTAGTATTTTGAGCACACTTCATTATTATGGTTCATTTATTCGTTTGCTGGAAATTAGAACTGAATTTTGAAATAGTTTTGAAACAAATATTTGCGCTTAACAAACAAAATTATTTATTTATAGACTAATTGATGTTTGTGCGTAAAGGTTTCCCTATCCAAGAGCGAAAGTGAAAGTAGTTCCATTATCTCTCATTCTCACGCAGTAGATGCTCTGTTTAACTGTTTTCTGTTAAAAAACTGTCAACTGTGAACTGTTTGCTTGTGAAATGCTCAGTTTTTCCACTTAGACTTACTTTGCGTCCTGTAAATAGCGAATGCGCTTATGGCACGACACAGCTGGCTCTTAAAGGTAATGGGAGATGAGACTCTAATTGGTTTATTCTCAAAACACACCTATAACTCATTAAGAAAATAAACTCAACCCTTTTAGACCATGCGCCACGGCGCAAAGCAGGTTTTCTCGTCCTTAAATTAGCAAAAACGCGTCCTGACACGCCCTGAAAGCGTTTGCGCCCTGCGTTTTGCGCATGGACCATCAAAATAAACCCCTATGAATCGCTGACTACTGTCTGATCCAACTACTCTGACCCAAAAAACAGATCTGATATGTTCCATATCTGAGTCAACTAGAAAAAAATGCAAGCATTTAGATAGTTTGGAATAGTTTAGGCCTTATTTACAGTATATGTGGAAATGAATCATGCATGAATCAGATATGTGCCAACAGATAGTATTTTCTACAGAGCACTGTGCTGTTTACATCATTAAAACTGCAATAATGTGATGCATGCACCGCTAGCGGGAAGAGTTGCAGGCTTGGATCTGGTGGGTTTTGCTATGGGGGAAGGAAAAGGGGAATGATGTGTACTGGCACCATTAGAAGAGGCAGCCTCATGCTTGGTTTAGTCACAGGGGCAAGCAGAATGGAGAAAGGAGGAATGACTGGCTTCAGGGCTGGAGGAAGAGGCTGTGGGTTAAGGGTAGGGGAGGAGAGGAGAGTAATAACAGACATCCCAAGTCTCCTGGAAATTGTGAGAGTCTCCCGCAAATGCATAAAGACTCCCGGATGCTCGCAAATGAGTGATAATTTCCCGAAAATCAAGCATCTCCTTCCCGGTCCTCAAATACGTTGCACACCCTTTCCACTGCATCCCTCCTCGCTCCCTCCACCTCTCCACCACTTCCCCGGTCTTTACATACGTCTCTTCAAATATTTCACGTAGCATAACTCCCGCAAAACATGACACTCGGTAATGACTATTCTCAACTTGGGATGTCTGTAATAAGAGGGCTGATGGTGCATTTCCACTTGCACTTTGCGGGCATAACGAAGAGAACATTTTTTCAATTAATTTATACAGATTTTCACAACAGTTCTGTCTGGTTCTTGAATCTGATTGGCTGATAGCCATGCAGTATTCTGCAAATAACAGCACTCGAACAGGCTCTTCACCTTTCACCTGCATTACTGCACCCACATACAGCAACAAGCAGAGGACACTCTACAGCAGGGCTCTCAAACTCGCGGACGATAGTTTGTGGCCCTCGCCTTAATTTGAAAGTTAAATGGCAGCGCGGCTTTCCAGTTTGATATGTATGGCACTTTAGTCTTGGTCAGTTTACCTGGCGAGCGAGCGAGCTACTGTGGTGCCTTAAGCAATCTGTGACTTGTCTACTATTAGTGTGGTTGTATATAGTATATAGCTCAATGGATCCGCTGCGTGAAGCATATGCTGGAATAGTTGGTGGTTCATTTAGCTGTGGCGACCCCTGAAAGAAAAGAGACTAAGCCAATGAAAAATGAATGAATGAATATAATCTGTCTCCTCTGCAAGCGTTTCTGATATGCTTGTATTTTTAAGTTTAAAGCTTTGAGTGTTCAGTTTTAAAGGCATTATATGCAAATAAATTATTATTTATTCATTCATTAATTTTCTGCCGCTTTTCCGGGGCTGGGTTGTGGGGGCAGCAGTCTTAAGAGAGAACCACAGACTTCCCTATCCCCAGACACTTCCTCCAGCTCCCCCAGGGGTATCCTGAGGCATTCCCAGGCCACCAGAGAGACATAGTCCCTGAAGCGTGTCCTGGGTCTTTGCCGAGGCCTCCTCCCGGTGGGACATGCCTGGAACACCTAATATTATTATTTATTATTATTTTTAAAAAGTATTTAAAAGTTAAAGTATTTTATAAATAGAAACGACTATATGCTCCTCATTTTTCCTATTGTTTCTATGATCTCATTAAAAAAAATGTATTTTCCAAGAACATGATGTGCTACCCATCAGACTGTGCTTCCAGCATAATGTTGATGTGGAGAGGAGTGACACCATTTTCCGTGTCGTACAGTACAACACAGGGTGATGTGACCACTGAAGTATGCTGGTTGCGAAAAGAAAAGCTAAGAAAAAAAATAGCAGTCACATGTGGGTAACATGACTCCAGCGGAGGCAAATGTTCGCCCATCTGTCTCAAATTCAAGGATGCTGATTGGCTGGATTTTTATTGCAGAAATATGTTAAAAGCGAAACTGCTCCGAAACAGACCCACCATCTGGCCAGAACTGAACATGCTGGCAGGCACAGACAGGCAGAGGGGTTAGAGAACATGTTTAGCACAGATGATTTTCTAAAAGCAAATCACAATCATATAAAATAAACATTTATAGAATTTACTATAAGAATATTTGCAATTACTATTGTGTGTGTGTGTGTGTGTGTGTGTGCCCCTGAGAGGGCAGCACACAGCGCATTTTAGTACTGTCATGAAATGAATACCAGACTTACCTTGAGATTAAACCCTCGGGCGTACGATCCCCATGGACACATTTCTGCAGGCCCCCATGAGCCCCACTCTCCTCCATTATCAACAGCCATCTCAATACTTTTCTCGCTGTTCCACAACCAACTATCTGTTGTGAAAGGACTGATCACGTGCAGCCCAATGATGGACAGCAGTAAAATCATAGAAAATAAACGACGCATCTCTGCAACTCCGTCAAGTAGTTTTGAAAACAGCTTTTAAAGGAGCACAAAGAGAACTGAACACGGTTGCCAGTTTGTGTGTTGAAATCCACCTCTGACGCTCCAGCAGAGAGTAAAGTCAGTGCTCACTGGGAGGAACTTAACGTGACTGCATCAAACAGAGCTCTTCAAAACACGAGATCTATTCATGGACAAATTAAAAAGAAAAGAAGTAAACAATTCTCAAATTAAATAAACCAAAATCCAATTGTTATATGATTTTTATGCTTTTTCAAGGAAAGGAACAAGTGTTTTGCTTTTATTTTAGTCTATAAACAAAGGTTTCACTTTAAGAAAGCCCTGTCTGGAGAGATATACTCTTCATTTCTATTGTAGGACTCTCAATAATCAACCTAAATCCTTATAAAATGTACAATTGCAAAAATAACACTAAGACGACTGGATTTTATTCGTTCATTCATCTTCTTTTTGGCTTAATCCCTTTATTAATCCAGGGTTGCCACAGCGGAATGAACCGCCAACTTATCCAGCATATGTTTTACACAGCGGGTTGCAGCTGGAAGGGCATCCGCTCTGTATAAAACATGTGCTGGATAAGTTGGCGGTTCAATTTGCTGTGGCGACCCCAGATTACTAAAAGGAACTAAGCCGGCTCACAAAATACCATCAAACAATGAGGGTAAAGACAAGGCGGACTGGCCATCTGGCAATTCTGGCAAATCCCAGAAGGGCCGGACCATTTTTTAAATGTAGGCCGGTATGCTATTTTTAAATGTTTGTTTTTTATATGTATTGTTGTATATACATGCAGGCAGCTTTTATCTCTTGCAAGATGTGAATATTATGATGATGATAACTTCTTCCATTATTAGCTCAAGTTATTTAAATATCAGAATGAATGCCAGGGCATGTATAGAGTATAGGTTGATTTTAAACAGAACATGCTAAGCACATAGACAGCATTTTCAAAGCCTAAACACAGTGTTTCCAGGGGTCCGATCTTCGTACCTCGCTTAAATGATCTAAGATGATTTGGCAGATCCTGGATCTTTTCATCTTGATAACTGATCTCTCGCTAATTTGGTTCTTCAAACAAGTTCGCGAATCAGATTAAAATGTCTGGATGAACTGATCTGAGATCGCTGCGCGTGTTACGTGTTGTGAAGAACAGATCTATCAATCCTTGAAATCATGATCAGCAATGCAATGATTGGCTGACAGCACAGCAGCGTAATGACATCATCTGATTAATATTCAATTATCCATGTGAGAAAAATTTCATCAAATTAGCAGTAAACGGCTTGTTAAATATGACACGCGATAACCTTCCACCTTTGTTGTGAGCTGCAGGCTTTACACTCTCATGTGTCAAGAGCATTCATCATGTATTTCAATGCCTATCATTGTATTTAGTTCTACATTTGGAGCTAATTTTCTTTATTATAGTGTGAGCCTACTCAATTGTTTTCAATCAGCGTAAGGAATAGCTGTATAAATTAATTTTGCATCAAAAAAGCATTTTGATATAAGGTATCAAGTCACCGGCTTATTAGCGGTCAAAACAAGTACATGACTGCATAAATTATTATGCTTTATTAAAAAAATAAATAAATTTAAAAAGTTGAATATTATGCATGTCTGCGTTTGCATCTAAAAAGCTCAAATCAATAAATTCTCTTTGAACCAGCAGGTGGCAGTTTTTTGTTTTTATTCTGCAGTGCAGATTGCATAAGTTTTATTAATATATTTATATATAAAGTTAAAAATAAGTATTATTATTAAGTATTACTATTTTTCCAAGTGTATATAACTGCTTTAAGAAACTATCAGCAATTGGTATTTTTAGTATTATCTTAGCTTGAACTAATCTAATCCTGTTTATATGAAATGAGCCTGCCCCCAAGGAGGTTTGAGCTACCAGAGCTGTTGCTATGACAATAAGTCTCAAATGACTTCTGAAGAACGAATCGATCCCTGATCATGTCAAATCGCCAATATCCAAATCCAGCAAACCGAGTATTCCATCGACAAAGAGCAGCCCCAGGTCAGTTCCTCAGAAGTAAATACATGGAGAAATTTTAAACAAATGTTGTTAAAAGGATAATACATTAAACCATTATGGTAGAAAAAAAAACACTTTAAATAAAAGGTTAAAAGTTTTATGTTGATGATTGTTGATGATTGTATGGGTTTTGACCAGATTGGGCAACCATATACAAAGGTAAATTATACCCATTTAAACAAGATTTAAGACCTATAAAATTATTTCAGTAGATTTAAGACTTTCTAAGGCCTAAAAATCTGCTTTAGAGATTTAAAAGATTAAAGACTTTTTTTTTCTGCAGATAACGATTACTGTACTACATGGAAAACACAGAAAAAGAATTGATCTTAATGTAGAAAATTTAATTGGAAAAAACTAAAGGTTTTTCATAACATTGGAAATTGAAACATTGAAGGCTGAATGCTTATGACCATTTTCACATCTTTTGGGGACTGTAACATTATTCACACCTACTAGGAAGATCTAAATAATACAAATAAAAGCAAAAAATCCTGAACGTAGCTTTAAAAACCTTTGTCTTTGTGTGTGTGTATATATATATATATATATATATATATATATATATATATATATATATATATATATATATATATGTGTATAATTTTAAAGAAGAAATTTTCACACGCCTCTTAATGCACTATTAACAACCAGTAAACAGGCCGGCTCAAGGAAGATCCTCCATTTTTGGGTGAATGGCATGATATTGAAGCAAAGACCCTTTCATTAAAACAACAACTCTATTAAATGGCTTTATATTGGGGAAAATGTTTGAGAAGACCATAATACCTACAGCACAGGTCTTAAACTTAATTCCTGGAGGGCCGCAGCTCTGCACAGTTTTACTCCAACCCAAATCAAACACAGCTGATCCAACCAATCAAGATGTTCAAGACTACTATAGAATATTAAGCAGGTCTGAGTTGGAGGTGATGGGGAGCTAAACTACGCAGAGCTGCGGTCCTCCAGGAATTGAGTTTGAGAGCATTGTCCTACCCTATATGCATTTATATTAATGTGTTGTCATTTGAAAGTGTTTTTTATTCAGTATTTGCTTAGAAAATGGGGAACAATAAAGTATATTTTGAAAATACTTGAAGTTGAAATTTCTTAAACTTAAGTCAACTTAAACTATATACACATAATAATTAAATCCTCTCAAAGCAAAAGCAATACTTTTTGTGCAAATGAGTGATTGTTGGGTCATTCAGGACTTCAGAGATTTTGCACATCTAACACAGTGTTCCTCAACCACGTTCCTCGAGGACGACCAGCTCTGCACATTTTCATGTCTCCTTAACCAAACACACCTGATTCAGATCATCAGCAGAGGCTGAAAGACCTGTAAAAGGTGCGACAAAGAAAACATCCAAAACACGCAGTGCAATATATTATTAGTCACAAACTAAAGTGAAACGCTTGGTAAAAACACTCAAGCATTTGTTTTCAAGTTTGTTGTGACACTCTTAAAGTAACACTACACATTTTTCTTTTGGAAATAGGCTCATTTTACAGCTCCCCTATAGTTAAACAGGTGAGTTTCACCATTTTAAATCCATTCAGTCCATCTCAGAATCTGGCAGGAGCACTTTTAGCTTAGCTTAGCATAGGTAATTGAATTGGATTAGACCATTAGCATCTCTCTCATAAATGACTAAATAGAAAAATTACTGAAACTCAAATGAAGTGTGACTCTTCAGTAATGTTACATTGTGAACTAATACAATCAGAAAATTAAAAGGTAACTTTCTAGTGTCCAAACCGGTGTCCTGCATATTTTACTTTTAACCCCAATTAAACACACCTGAACCAGTTAATGAAGCTCTAGGTATACTAGAAACCTCCTGGCAGGTGTGTTAAAGTAAGTTGGAGCTAAACTTTGCAGGACACCATTCCTCAAGCACAGAGTTTAGACATCCCTGTTCTTGGCTGATATGGATAGAGGAACTATACTTAATTCTGGCATAATAATCAAGGAACTGTGCTGCAGTAGCATGACTAAAGCAAAGGAATGACATTACAGATTATAACTGGTGGTGTGAGTGTATGGATTGGTGCTGGAGATTATTTTTAAGTACTGCTCCATCGTATGGCAGCAAAGTTCCTTGATTATTACGCCAGAATGAGAGTATACTGTAGTCCAGTGTTTCTCAACCATGTTCCTGGAGGACCACCAGATCTGCACACATTCCAGGTCTCCTTAACCAAACACAACTGATTCAGATCATCAGCTCATTAGCAGAGGCTGAAAGACCTGTAATAGGTGTGACAAAGGAGTACATCCAAAACATGCAGTGCTGGTGCTCCCCCACGAACGTGGTTGAGAAACACTGATCTAAAAGACTAACCTTACATTTGCAGTCCAGCTCGATTTATGTTTTTTTGTCTTCTGTAATGTTTGTAGCAAAATATATTAATACAGCTATGATTTCAGCAAAGTTTGGTATTGAGGTTTGTTATGTTGTTTACTGTGAGATGCAGTAACTATCGCAATCACGTATTAATTAGTCACAAACTTCAGTGAAACGCTTGATAAAACACTCAAGTATTTATTTTCAAGTTTGTTGTGACACTCTTAAAGTAACACTACACATTTATCTTTTGGAAATAGGCTCATTTTACAGCTCCCCTATAGTTAAACAGGTGAGTTTCACCATTTTAAATCCATTCAGTCGATCTCAGAATCTGGCAGGAGCACTTTTAGCTTAGCATAGCATGGATAATTGAATCGGATTAGACCATTAGCATCTCTCTCAAAAATGACTAAATAGAAAAATCACTGAAACTCAATGAAGTGTGACTCTTCAGTAATGTTACATTGTGAACTAATACAATCAGAAAATTAAAAGGTAACTTTCTAGTGTCCAAACCGGTGTCCTGCATATTTTACTTTTAACCCCAATTAAACACACCTGAACCAGTTAATGAAGCTCTAGGTATACTAGAAACCTCCTGGCAGGTGTGTTAAAGTAAGTTGGAGCTAAACTATGCAGGACACCATTCCTCAAGCACAGAGTTTAGACATCCCTGTTCTTGGCTGATATGGATAGAGGAACTATACTTAATTCTGGCATAATAATCAAGGAACTGTGCTGCAGTACCAGGACTAAAGCAAAGGAATGATATTACACAGATTATAACTGGTGGTGTGAGTGTATGGATTGGTGCTGGAGATTATTTTTAAGTACTGCTCCATCGTATGGCAGCAAAGTTCCTTGATTATTACGCCAGAATGAGAGTATACTGTAGTCCAGTGTTTCTCAACCATGTTCCTGGAGGACCACCAGATCTGCACACATTCCAGGTCTCCTTAACCAAACACAACTGATTCAGGTCATCAGCTCATTAGCAGAGGCTGAAAGACCTGTAATAGGTGTGACAAAGGAGACATCCAAAACATGCAGTGCTGGTGCTCCCCCACGAACCTGGTTGAGAAACACTGATCTAAAAGACCTACCTTACATTTGCTGTCCTGCTCGATTTATGTTTTTTTTTGTATTCTGTAATGTTTGTAGCAAAATATATTAATACAGCTATGATTTCAGCAAAGTTTGGTATTGAGGTTTGTTATGTTGTTTACTGTGAGATGCAGTAACTATCACAATCATGTATTAATTAGTCACAAACTAAAGTGAACCGCTTGATAAAACACTCAAGTATTTGTTTTTTAAGTTTCTTGCGACACTCTTAAAGTAACACTACACATTTATTTTTTTTGGAAATAGGCTCATTTTACAGCTCCCCTATAGTTAAACAGGTGAGTTTCACCATTTAAATCCATTCAGTCTATCTCAGAATCTGGTAGGAGCACTTTTAGCTTAGCATAGCATAGATAATTGAATCGGATTAGACCATTAGCATCTCTCTCAAAAATGACTAAATAGAAAAATCACTGAAACTCAATGAAGTGTGACTCTTCAGTAATGTTACTTTGTGAACTAAGAATATCAGAAAATTAAAAGTTGACTATTTGTAGTGTCCAAACTCCTCACTTACACCAGAATGAGAGTATACAGTTCAGTGTTTCTCAACCACGTTCCTCGAGGACCACCAGCTCAGCACATATTCCAGGTCTCCTTAACCAAACACAACTGATTCAGATCATCAGCTCATTAGCGGTTGAAAGACCTGTAATAGGTGTGACAGACAAAGTAGACATCAAAAACATGCAGTGCTGGTGCTCCTCCAGGAACGTGGTTGAGAAACACTGATCTAAAAGGACAAGCTTTCATTTGCTGTCCAGCTTGGTCTATGTTTTTTAACTTCTGTAATGTTTGGTGCAAAATATATTAAGACAACTATGATTTCAGCAAAGTTTGATAATGATGTTTGTCATGTTGTTTACTGTAAGATACTCTGCAGCTTAGCTTAGCATAGATTATTAAATTGGATTAGACCATTAGCATCTTACTCAAAAATAACTATACTCTCATTCAGGTGAAATATACAATCAAGGACCTTTACTGACATACCATGACTGAAGCAGGAGCAATGATATTACTCATAACTGGTGCAAGTAGGGTTGTCACGATACAGGAATTCGGAACCAGTCGATACTGAAATTGTAAAAATGTCCATTTCCCGCAAACATTTGAGCACTGGAGCATTTTAAAGTCACGTTGATCTGCTAGTTTGTCCATAAGCTGACATACAAGCGATCCGCTGATGAATCACGACTTTAAAAGGCTCCACTGTCCCTGTATCTGTGGTTATACTGAGTAAACAGTGGTGAGTTCGGTGAGCTGATGACCTTCACGGCCAATCACAATCATTTCTGTTGAGCATGTGAATACTACCAAACCAGCGCCGTTTAAGAACATGCTCAACAGCGCTTCAATGTTAGTGGAAAATGGATGTTTTTAAAATATCAGTATCGATGGTACTGAATTCCAGTATAGTCACAACCTAAGGTGCAGGTGTCAGGAATGGTACGCCAGGTAAAGTTTATTGATTATTCAGCCAGAATGAGAGTATACAGTAGTCAACATTTAAAGTGGATCACCGTTGATCAAAGTTATTCTACACCGACTGAACAACACGCTGCGTTGTCTTGGGACAATTTTGAAAAGCATTTTTGATTTACTTTGAATGTTGACTACTGTAGTTCCTAGCCATATCAGTCCTACAAAGGGAGCAAGTGTTCATTTTCCTTTGGTGTTAATATACAATGTTACAACAGAAGAGTCATGCTTTAAATAGGAAAACTATTGAAACTCTTTGGTCACTTTTAAATTAGATGCTAATGGTCTAATCTGATTCAATGAACTATGCTAAGCTAAGCTAAGATTGCTTCTGCCAGAGATCAGCAGAATGGATTTTAAAGAGTGGTAAAACTCACCTGTGTAGCTCTTAAAAATAGTTTAATTCCAACAAAAGTGTATTATTTTCCTTTAATGAAACCCTGTACCTCAGGGATATTTCACTCCTCAGGGAGTCCCGCAAGTCAAAATTACTTAAGGCTTTTAATGCAACCGTGCCCAGACTACAGCTTTAACATTCACTGCATATTGATCGGCAAAATCTTCTGATAGGAAAAACCCCAGAAGAAAGGAAAGACGGTGTCAGTGAAGGTGGCTGTAAATGTGTGTAGATGTGTGTCTGTTGCAGGATCAGAGAAACTCACAGTTCCTTCATCACAGTCCAGCTCAACCTTCACACACTCCAGCTTCTGTGTGACAGTGAAACAAGTGGACACAGTGGAGTTCAGTGAATCCTGTGGAGGATTCTCATAATACTCCACACTCCAGACATTAGTGTCATAGAAATCACGGCCCTTTCTTTGGTTGGATGCTGTCGTCACTCCCAGATTCCAGTAAAAACTGTAGCTCACCTCCACAACCCAGCTGTGTTTCCCTGATCTAAATCCCTCCGAGCCCAACACACACGGAAAACGGTCGAATCTCTCAGGATTATTAGGAAACTGACGTTTGTCCTCGCTCTCTCTGACGCTGGTCAGATCATCAGACAGGATGAGATGTGGATGAGCAGTGTTTGGGTCCAGAATCACAGGAGCTGAAGAGAGACATCAAAAAACAGCGTTTTTTTACACTATCCTGTTCATTTCTCGATCAAGAGTGAGCTGTACTATTATTATTATTAAAAGCTGTATTATTATGGCACAATTATTGCATCTTCCTCTGATAAAAGTCAATGTTATTAGTTAGAATAGCAAAGTCCACTAAAGGAAGTCGGGAATTTTTATATATGGCCCCTAAACTCTGGAATAGCTCTCTAATAATGTCTGAGGCTCAGACACTCAGTTCAAAACAAGATTAAAGACCTAACTTTTTAGTAAAGCATACACACGCAATGCATCATAATGGTATCATGTATGAGTGTGCTCCATGCAGTTTAGTGGGCTTGACAAACCATCCATAGGACACACTCTTCTTGTCTTTATATACTAGGGACTTTGTTAGAAATACTTGTATGCTTTATATGTTTGTTTATATAGCACCTCTTTTCACTTATATCACTTTATTTTGATGGTCGCCTTAATGCTGCGTTCACATCAGACGTGGAAGAAACATCAAGCGCAAGTGATTTACATGTTAAGTCAAAGCAAAGACAAGAATAGACATCCTGCGGTGGGAATGACGCGATACACGTGAATTGGATTTTTGCGCGTTTAACACTCTTAACCATGTCTTGCGCAAACCGATCAAGTTCAAAAATCTGAACTTCAGCGGACATACGCGCCACATTAACCAATCAGGAGCTTGCTCTTGTGGGGGTGTGATTATGATGTAGCGCCTGTTGTTGGTGTCCCGGGGGAAAATCCTCCTGCACACACCAACAACAGTTCATCAAACTGGACTCAGCTCAGTCGGAAGCACAGCTGAAAGCCAGATCATCCAGGTATAGCTTCTAGAGGAGTTATGAGCTCACAGAGCTGCTGCACCTCTGAAAGGATCTGGTGGACTCAGACAAGGCTCCAAACAAATCGACGCTGTTTTTCAGCCTGAATAAAGCACATGAACACAGTTATTTTCTGTGATAAAAACATTAAAGTCCATGTGAAATAAAATTAAAGTAAGCATCAATGTGTTCTTCTTAAAGTTTTTGACCCTTCTAAAAGCATAAAATATAATATGTTTGCAGATAATCGAAAATAATCGGCACTATAGGTGGGCATAGATTAATTCATTTTTATCTAGATTAATCTCACTGTAATCTTGGAATTAATCTAGATTAATCTAGATTAAAATGGCTCATAGGAATTCCGCTGAAGGCATTCAGGATATGTGTGCTACCCAAATAATTACTAAAAGTCAGTCTTTGAAAATGGGTTTCTCAAGCCAGGTGGCGCATTAGAGCAGGGGCTAATCTCCTGATTCCAAAACGCATCATAAACTGCTTGAGAAACTGTTCTACTATGATAATTTGTGATGAAAATAAATTATGTTGAGTAAGATGTGCTTGTGTTTACTAACTGTATATTAATGTCGAACTGTTGGTCTACATAAGCACTAAACAGAAATGGAGTTAATTCATGTGGAGTATGCAGATATTTGTGGCATTATTGAAGTGAACACCGCAATTAAACGGTTAGATAGTTAAAGGGTCACGAAACACCAAAACACATGTTTTGAGCTGTTGACAGTCGTATATGTGTCCCACACTGCTAAAAACACTATTAGGACACCTATATTTCCCTAAAAAGTGTAAACTGGTTGTTTTTGCGTTATTTCAAGCAAATTCGTACTTCCGGTTTGAAACGAATTTTTGAAGCTGCGTCACGGTCATGACATAATAGCGTGTATTCCAGCGTGCAGACTGGACAACTGTGCCAGAGTGTGTCTTATTACGTCTTACAGTGTGATGCATTAATACATGAGTAAGGCTTGGTTCAAACCAATCAGCGCGCTCTATTGTGCAACTTCATTAATATTCATTACTGTCACAGTGTTTACACGACAGAGACGCCACGTTTTGTTGGCAAAACAAGCGTGAAGTGTTGCTTTTATAGTTTGCTGCCGTTAAGCTTCGTTTTCATTTTCTCTCTGTGAGAGCTCAGCTGGAGTCACGTGTGGATTAACAGTGTACGCGACGCTCGACAACAATAACTTACGTGTCTAAGGAGGATTATTATTTACCTGAGAGCTGTTCTCATCTGCAAACGCTGAGATCCGGATTCGCTTGTAGTCTTCTCTTAAAGGGCCATGAAACCCCCTCGTTTCAGCAGGGTGTTTTCACACCTCTACTTTGGAAAAAGTCAGAAAAGTGGGCGTGTCCAGCTCTGTTTAGGGGGGAGTGTCGGAGGAAGAAACGAGGCTTGGTATGGGAGTGTCCATTTGGGCGCGCTGAATTTCAGAGTCAAAACACACAACCACAGCGGACAATGTGACTGTGTTTACATGGACATCTGTAGTCGAATTATTTGCCAAATTATTAAATGTTGGACTTTAACTGCAGTTTGGCTCTTTCATTCAGGGAATTCATTCATGTCCCTCGCGACAAACAAGATATTTGATTGGAGGAGCTGCTCTAAGCATGTATTTTTCATGCAATGTTTGATACCGCACGGCGAATGAGAGAAAAAAAAAACTCAGCATTTTCCGGAAACTTAGATGCACACGGCAGGTAGCGTCAGAAAGCCGCGTGTGCTATTCCGGTCACACAATCCAACACGAGGTTATAGTTTGGTTGTAACTGTTAGTGCAAACTTGTTTACACTCGGTGCAATAGTTTGTTTGATACGAATAAAATACGAACTGAATAAACAAAGAGCACTGGTCGCTCACTTACCAAATCTGTATAGACAGGACAATCACCAGCAACAAGAGCCGCGCCTTTATTTAGAGGAGACTAACGTTACAAGCGAATCCGGTGCCCGCAAATCCGGCTGTGTCCGCATATGCTGTTAGCTGATACGCTTCGTGGAGGGGGAACTGGAATTCCAGAAGGGAACAGAATCGACTGCTACACCGGATCTCAGCGTTAGCAGATCAGAACAGCTCTCAGGTAAACAATAATCCTCCTTAGACTCGTAAGTTATTGTTGTCGCGCGTCGCGTACACTGTAATCCACACGAGTCTGCGCTCTCACAGAGAGAAAATGAAAACGAAACTTAACTGCAGCAAACTATAAAAGCAACACTTCACGCTTGTTTTGCCAACACAACGTGGCGTCTTTGTCGTCTACACTCTGACAGTAATGAATATTAATGAAGTTGCACAATAGAGCGCGCTGATTGGTTTGAACCAAGCCTTACTCATGCATTAATGCAACGCACTGTAAGACGTAATAAGACTCACTCTGGCACAGACGTCCAGTCTGCACGCTGGAATATAACGCTATTATGTCATGACCGTGACGCAGCTTCAAAAATTCGTTTCAAACCGGAAGTACGAATTTGCTTGAAATAACGCAAAAACAACCAATTTACACTTTTTAGTGAAATATAGGTGTCCTAATAGTGTTTTTAGCAGTGTGGAACACATATACGACTGTCAACAGCTCAAAAAATGTGTTTTGGTGTTTCGTGACCCTTTAATAAAGACGCGGCTCTAGCTGCTGGTGATTGTCCTGTCTACAGATTTGGTAAGTGAGCGACCAGTGCTCTTTGTTTATTCAGTTTGTTCGTATCGAACTAAGTTAACTATTGCACCGAGTGTAAACATGTTAGGACCACAACCAAACTTTAACCTCGTGTAGGGTTTTCACCGCATTTTGTGACCGGAATAACACACGCGGCTTTCTGACACTACCTGCCGTGTGCATCTAAGTTTCCGGGAAATGCGGAGGGTTTTTTTTCCTCTCATTAGCCGTGCGGTATCAAACATTGCATGAAAAATACACGCTTACAGCAGTTCCTCGAATCAAATATATTGTTTGTCGCGAGGGGCATGAATGAATTCCCTGAATGAAAGAGCCAAACTGCAGTTAAAGTCCAACATTTAATAATTTGGCAAATAATTAGACTACAGATGTCCATGTAGGTTAAACACCATCACTTTCTCATGTGTGTGTATTTTGACTCTGAAACTCAGCGTGCCCCAATAGACACTCCCACACCCTCCCACTTTAGTTCCTCCGACACTCCCCCCTAAACAGAGCTGGACACGCCCACTTTTCTGACTTTTTCCAAAGTAGAGGTGTGAAAACACCCTGCTGAAACGAGGGGGTTTCATGACCCTTTAAAGTTTTTGACCCTTCTAAAAGCATAAAATATAATATGTTTGCAGATAATGGAAAATAATCGGCACTATAGGTGGGCATAGATTAATTCATTTTTATCTAGATTAATCTCACTGAAATCTTGGAATTAATCTAGATTAATCTAGATTAAAATGGCTCATTGGAATTCTTCTGAAGGCATTCAGCATATGTGTGCTACCCAAATAATGACTAAAAGTCAGTCTTTGAAAATGGGTTTCTCAAGCCAGGTGGCGCATTAGAGCAGGGGCTCATCTCCTGATTCCAAAACGCATCATAAACTGCTTGAGAAACTGTTCTACTATGATAATTAGTGATGAAAATAAATTATGTTGAGTAAGATGTGCTTGTGTTTACTAACTGTATATTAATGTTGAACTGTTGGTCTACATAAGCACTAAACAGAAATGGAGTTAATTCATGTGGAGTATGCAGATATTAGTGGCATTATTGAAGTGAACACCGCAATTAAACGGTTAGATAGTTAATTAAATAGTTACATTAAACTATGACCATCATGTAGGACTTTTCGCCATATTTTCTGACAAGATCCGCACACGTGGCTGTCAGTAAAGGACCGCACACACACACATCGTGAAATGTGGAAGTTTTTTCTTTCCCTTTGGCGTACACTATTAAATTTCTTAACACTCTCACCAGTCCGTCACGGGGGCATGGATGAAATGTTCATGAGTGAAGGTGAAAGTGCCAAACTGCAGTTAAAGTCACCCAAAATTACAGGAAACTCTTACATGAAAGCACTTCACGTAAACACCTTAATCATATTATTGTCTATTAAGGCATATAACTAGACTACAGATGTCCATGTAAGCGTAGTCAGTAGTGTCTTCAGAGATCCAGAAGGACATCCTGCTGATTTGATTCAGAAGGGCACTGTTTTGTAAGACGGCTCACCTGTTTGACTTTCATTCACTGTCATTCATTTTAAAAAGCTACCGCTCTATTTTATTTGTATAGGTTTTACTGGAACACATGAACTCTACAGATGCCTGATAGTCAGATGTGGACCTAACATTATTCAAATTCACTCTAGTGAACTGCATCCATGTTAGCATGTCACGTTTGATGTGGTAATTTCACAGTAGGAATACACATAGGTTTGAAGACTTGTTCTTGCCCCCTACGGTGCAATACGGCCAGGTATACATCCGCATTAAAATATCAAGGTGAAAGTCATCATAACTTGTGTAGAACAGACCCAGCTCCCAACCCAACTTTGAGTATAGATTAACAGCATTTTTTTTTTATCGCCAAATAAGAGTCTCGCATTAATGCAGCACAGCAATGCCATTAACGGAACCACCAATAATCAGCACACTGCAACTTATGCTCTCAAAAGACTCATTTAATTGTTTAAACTTGTCTTTTAAGAGCTAAAGGGGCAGTGTGACGATTATATTATTACATTTATTACATTACATACAGGCTATATGGTTAAACTCAGGCTATCTCTTCCTTTATATAAAGTACAGAGATTAATGTTTATTGTGGTCTAAACAAATGACAATAAATAAGGATGTGTAAATGTGTATTTCCACAGCAAACAAATATAAAAAAGCCACAAAATCTATCATAAATTTGGAGAATGCACAAAAAAATCTGTAATTTTAGTCACAGATATAAGATGTTTTTGTGAGGGATTGGTTAATAGAGCTTTCTGCTATAAGGAGCTTGTTGTGATCCCTGACAAGCCCCCACTTTTTGCGACCTTAAGGTCATATGGCTCGTTTCCACTGACTGGTACAGTACGGTACGGTTCGGTACGGTTCACCTTTATCAGGCTTGCGTTTCCACTATAAAGGGTACTCTTTTGGTGGGCGTGGTGTAAGATAAAGTTTCAGTCAACGTCATTTTCGCTCGAGAAAATGTCTACAATAAAGCTGCACAGGTCGCTCACATATTATTTGAAAAGCACGTCTCACAAAACAGATGCTTTACACACATAAATACTTGTGTATAAATGTTTATTACTAACTTTTCTATAAACAGGAGTTGTTTATAACTGCAGATCAATGACAGTGCAAAATAGCCTACTGTAACGTCTGTAATTATATTAAATAAATAAATAAATGAACATAAATGAACACATACAGACCCTTACAGTCTCCGATATGTTAACAACTACAGAAGAACTACACAAAGCAGACATTTCGTCGTTAATTATGTTCAAAACAACACAAAGTATAGCCTACAGTCAGTGAAAACCTCTCATCTGTGTCTGTAATCTTCAGCAGCACATGAAGCCTCTGTTAGAGAGTCATTCCATTATTCCCAGTTTATATTAGTCCAAAAGGTGATCATAAAGATTAAAACAAGGCAGTCTGTTTACGTTTGCTGAAGAAATAGCGTACTCCTCGGCTTCGCCTTTCTTCCCGCGCTCCACTCTCGCGTTTGTCCTTTTCTTTCTGAATGTGTCACTCTCGTGTCAGCTTCTCACAGGATCGGGTTTCCAAAGCTTGTCAATAATCAAGTGCATGTTAATATTATCAGCTCAAGAAGTTTGTTATTTCAGATAGAGACGCGCGGCGAACACAAGGAAGAAAGTGAAACCACTCAGGCTTCAGACTGGCTCGTAAAAAACATCGCGGCACAGGGTGAATCTGCTCTTCTCCATGGCTGTGTGGCTGTTTATCATGATTACGACAGGGTTTGTTTGCAGGATCGACCATGGCTGCATATGTATATATAATTCCGCTGTAATCTCTCACAGTGTATTTCAAACATGGCGGATCCTTTCTTTACATTCTGGCTTGTTGCGTCTACGAATGACGTATCTCTGTAAACCAATAGCGTTCAGCTGCGCGTGTAGCTCCACCTTTTGGGACCCTTTCTGCAGTTTGGGACCCTTTCGAAAGGGTCCCGAAAAAGTGGTACGGTATGGTTTGGTTCGGTACGCCTTTTGACAGTGGAAACGGCCATAAAAGCGTACCAAACCGAACCGTACCGTACCACTCAGTGGAAACAGGCCAATAATGACATGTCTATAACCCCACACACTCAAAAATGGTACTAAACTGCAGTGGAAAAGCGCCAATATATATGATTGCTGCTCTCTTTGGGTCAAACACACATATTTAAAAATACAGAGGCATTCATCAAAGATTAAATAAACGTATGCAAATCATGATCCTTTAGAGTTAAGATCACAGGGACATCTTTTAACCATTAAACATACAGCAAAGACCACAGCTAATATGATCTTCAGAACCAGCTGAGAAAGAGCAAATGTAGTAGTGTTGACTCTTACTGTAGTGGACGATGTCCTGCATCTTCTTCCACACTCTGTACTGCAGGTTCCCCAAGTACTGAGACACATTAATCAAAGCTCCAGAAGGGATATGTGGGTCTGGAAACAAAGACTGAAACCTGGAAGAACATTCAGGAGTCAGAACGGCCGTGGCTTTGGCTTTAGAAGCAGAGACAGCAGCAGATCACTCACCTTTCCATTGACACTAGAAAATCCTGCAAAGCAAATATATATGATCATTAACAACTCAATCAATCAATCAATCAATTACTCAATGAAAACCAGACCTTTATGAAGCAGATGTCATTGTTTTTCAGCATCTGCTCTGTGCGCTTGATTGTGTGTGCAGTTTCAAAGATGCGCGTGTTCATCTCATTCAGTTTCCTCTTCATCATCTGCTTATTCTGCTCCTCTTCGTCCTTCAGAGCAGAGATTGTAGCAGCTTCTTCATCACGGAGAAACTGATGAAGCTTCCCAAACTGGAGTTTAATCTGAATCTCGGTGTGCTTCGTTTGTGCCTGAAAGCGAATCATATAAATCAACACCTCAGATAATGAACATTGGAAATAAGTGAAGAAACAAGTCATAGAACAGATGCAGAGCAGATTATTGACATCAGTTTACTGTGTAAATATGTGCATCAATGACAAAGCTGTAAAGAATGACGGTGTTTGCTCACCGTGGCGTGCTGAATGGTTTTCTCAAACTCTTCTTTACTGTTTTTGTATTGTTTTAGTCTCCCTTTTAAGGACTTCATTGCTGTTTCGATATCCTGGAATTGATAAAAAATAAAAGTGCACAAAACAACAGCTTCAACTCAAAGAAAACAATGACACGGTCATTTCAATGGAAGCAGTTTGTATTTTCTTCATTACATTTTAGCACAGTTGTGTACGTGTATACTAGGGGTGTCAAAATTAATAGTTTCTTTGGTGCACCGCGATGCAGACACGGACAATAAGGTATCGGTTCAGTAATAATCATAACCGGTTATTATGTACTGACGTCATTTATCTCCTGTGCGCTCTGTCGCGAGGGAGGTGAGAGCGAGTATTTACAACACTCAGCCAACTCAGGGCCGGCCCGTGGCATAGGCACCATAGGCAAATGCTAAGGGTGCTGTATATCCAGGGGGGCGCCAGAAAGGAACGCGGCTCAGTTGGTTTTGTTTTCGATATTCTTGACACACATTCAGTTATAGACGGCATTAACTCAAAAACCTCTTACTCTAAAAACATCTAAAGTGTGTTTCCTACAAAAAGACAAAGCTGGTTGTGTTTCACAGCTGTCTTTTTATTTTTTTACGCTCGATATTACGACCACTGCTCCATTTAAGCCCTCGCAATATTTGTTTAGCCGGGAGAGCTCGCGCTGAGAGGAGCTTTCAGCAAGGGACCGTCGGAAAAGTGCTTCTTTTTTTTTCCGTTTTTTTTTTTCGTTTTTCTGCTCCGCTCAGCGCGAGCTCTCCCTGTTGCGAGGGCTTAAGTGTGTGCGTGTGTGCGTTGTTTGTTTCTTTGGTGCTGTCTATGTTTGTGTATGTGTTTGAATGAGAGACAGTGTGGTACTGTGTGTTTATACAGACAGCTTGTTATAGCCTCCCCCCAAAATATAACACTGTATTGGAAAGCATCGTCAATGCACCGTGATGCACCGAGATATCGAATTGAACCGAATCGAAAGCATGATAATCGTAACCGAACCGAACCGTGAGACCAGTATAGGTTCACACCTCTAGTGTATACCATAATAAAACAAATCAGAAATCAAAGCAATGAATTATAAGATGAGGTAAATCCCATTGTAAATCATACCCATCGTAGATACACAGATAGAACCCTTAAAGGACGTTCAAGATGAAAAGCAACCAGAACTATGAATATGCTCAAACTACTCTCTTCTATTGCAAGTAATAATGTAGCCTACAATCTTTTTGATTTTTTAATTATCAATATTGTGTGTTTTAAAAAATAATGTTTTTTTTACAATGTGGATGTCATAATTGTAAGATTTTTGTATTATTTGAATTGTTAAATATTCCGAATTTACAAAAAAAAAAAAATAAAAAACTTTTATTAACGTGAATAAAAGTTTTTGTTCACATTGGTCAAGCTAAAGTGGCAGTGGGGCAGTAGGTAGTGCTGTCGCCTCACAGCAAGAAGGTTGCTGGGTCGAACCTCGGCTCAGTTGGTGTTTCTTTGTGGAGTTTGCATGTTCTTTCAGCCTGCCGGTTTCCCCCACAGTCCAAAGACATGCGGTACAGGTGAATTGGGTTGGCTAAATTGTCCATAGTGTATGTGTGTGTGAATGTGTGTGTGGATGTTTCCCAGAGATGGGTTGCCGCTGGAAGGGCACCCGCTGCGTAAAAACTTGCTGGATAAGTTGGCAGTTCATTCCGCTGTGGCGACCCCGGATTAATAAAAGGACTAAGCCGACAAGAAAATGAATGAATGGTCAAGTTAACCTCCATGAACTATCTATATATTATTTATATAAATACATAAACCAAGTCTGAGAGTTTTAGTTTTTTGGCAGTTTATTTCACATTTCTTGTTTGTAAAAGCTAAATAAAAATAAAAAGTGAACATCATTTTTTTGTATTGTTTTGATTTTAAAAAACAAAAAGGTATAAGAGCCTGGAGGTATTATTCACTTTGCATATTCAGTTCGCAGAGATTTGTAGGTACAGACATGTATTGTGTCTTCGAGTTTTTTCTGTGTTTTTACTATTGTCCATATCGATGTCTGAATTATGTCGTATCGACTGAAATTAAGAAATATTTTGTGATATACATTTTTGCCATATCGTCCAGCCCTAGGTTTTGGCCACTTCCAGGCTGGTTTCCAGCCATTTTGAGCCTGGTCTTAACTGGTCAGGCTGGGAGATAACTAGCTAAAACCAGTTTGACCAGCCTGGTTTAAGCTTTACATAGCTGGCTTTGGCTGGGCTAGCTGGTAGCCCAGCCAAAACCAGCTATGTCCAGCTTAAACCAGGCTGGTCAAACTGGTCTTAGCTGGTCATTTTCCAGCCTGACCAGCTAACAGCTTTCCAGCCTGACCAGCTATAAAAAATGTGCATGGATGTGACGAAATCAATGTTTACATTTACTTTTAGAGTATATTGAATCATCTGTGAACTATTTTGCTGATTATTAGAGTTTTTATTTAGCTAATAATTAGATATTAATATCATATTTTGGCATGTTTAATTTTATTTATTGTAACGTTACTACAGACTGCCAAAAATTATAACTAATTAAGCAGAAAAAAGCCTATTAAATTTAGTTTATCAAACTATTACTGTATGCACACATTTTACCTCATGGTGTAGACTACATAAAACGGAAAAATACATAATCAGTAGTGAATTCAAGTCCTGTTGGACACAAAATTCGACAGTAAATAAAACATCCCTACTAAAAAAAAACAGCTTAAACCAGCCTAGGCTGGTTGGCTGGTTTTAGCTGGTCGACCAGGCTGGTTTTAGAGGGGTTTTGGCCACTTCCAGGCTGGTTTCCAGCCATTTCCAGCCTGGTCTTAGCTGGTCAGGCTGGGAGATGACCAGCTAAAATCAGCTTGACCAGCCTAGCCAGGCTGAGAGCCCAGCCAAAACCAGCTATGTCCAGCTTAAACCAGGCTGGTCAAGCTGGTTTTAGCTGGATTAAGCTGGTCATTTTTCAGCCTGACCAGCTAAGACCAGGCTGTAAATGGCTGAAAACCAGCCTGGAAATGGCCAACACCCCTCTAAACCAGCCTGGGCAACCAGATAAAACCAGCTTAGGATGGTTTAAGCTGTTTTTTGTTTAGTAGGGATACCTCAAAATGTGGAAAAACTTGGTACAGTAGCCAACTTTATAGAAAAAAATGTGTATGGATGTGATTGTTTACATTTATCATGTGAATAGACATGTTGAGGTATCCCAGCCCACGAGTTTTTAAATTGCTTATTTTATTTTGTTTATATCAATTGTGATTAACATTACTTTAAATCCCTAATAACATGTTCTTATTCAAGGTAATTTGACAGTAAATTATATTGTTAGGAGAAACATGCAACAACGTGTATATAAAGAATACTTGTGTTTTCACGACGCGCCATCAGTCGGCCATATTGGAGAGCAAACATTGCCGAATTTTGCTTTTACAAAATTTTAACATTTTGCTGATTTTTTTAGAGCTAAAAATGATCTATTATTGTCATATTTTGGTAAGTTTCAGTTTAATTAGTGTTACATTACTACATACATAAAAAGCATAAAAGAGCCTAAATTCAGTTTATCTGTAGATTACACGTTTTCCTGCACACGAAGTACTTCCCTGTATGATTAAGCAGCTTCCACGTGTCTACGAAGTGGTTCAGACAACATAAATAAGGAGAAATAATGTATTTAGTAGCAGAATACAACGCTTTACACCTTTTGTTTACATCCGAGTAACACGAAACATTGGTCTTCTTACCTTATATGCTTGAACCAGTTCACCGATGGGTCTGAATGTGTGCTGGTCGTGTTGGTGTGAGGTTACACACACTAAACACACAGGCTGTTTGTCCTCCAGACAGAAGAGTTTGAGTTTTTTATTGTGTAAACTGCAGATCTCCTCTGGTTTCTCTTTTCTCTCTTTAGAAAACGACTCGCAGACGTTTTTCAGCACTAGGTTAGACAGCGGCTCGTGAGCGGATATTCTCCTGCAGACAGCACACTGCTGAGTGCCCTTAGTCCTCCAGAAGTGCTGAAGACACTCTCTACAGAAACTGTGACTGCAGGACAAAATAACAGGATCCTTGAAGACTTCTTGACACACAGGACAAGATAAATCCTCTTCAGAGAGCGAAGACATCTTCACCGCCTCTGTATCCATTGTAATAACGCTCTAAACTGAACGTGTTTTCTTCTTCGGTCAGTGATTTTTGCCTTCAGATGTTGTAGAGTTGCTCAAAGTGAGTTCGAGGTGGAAAAAACAACAGCCTCTCCCTTAGACCACAGACTTAAAAGCGAAATACCCCCACCCATCTCCACATCCGGTCACACCTGGTAATATTCAGATGAGTTTTGAGTCAGTTTTGGTCGAAGGACGAGGGAACGCGCACCTCCAAGTGGGAGGGACTTATGGTGCGGGTAGTTTTTGTTAATGTATATTAATTTCTTTTAATTGTCAATGCTTGAACAATAACACAAATGCATTTAAATTACACAAAAACACTGACACAACAATCTATTCACATTCACATCTTCACATTATGGCCATTTTATTTATTTTTATTTTTTTTCTACAGAGAAATAGTATTTTTGTTGTATTTATTATTTTATTTGAATGGCCAAAACAGTGTATACAATACCCTATGTACTGTAAATATACAATATCAAATAGTCGTCCCTACCATTGAAAACCCATATAAATAATGAAAGAAAAAGATACAAGAAAACACACACACTCTCTCTAAAAAACGTCGAGTTATTTCTTTAACCCAATGATGGAGTTAAACATATTTGGTGCTTTGTTGGGTTATTTTTAACCTTTATTCGATTATTTTAAAATAACTCAACTAGTTTAGTTAAATATTTAGTCCTTTGTTGGGTTATTTATAACCTTTATTTGGTTATTTATTTAATAACTCAACCAGTTGGGTTAACAATTTTAAATTCAACAGTCAACTGATTTAACTGACTCAAAACAGCTGTATTATTATGTGTGCGTAATATTGATTTGCGTGATAAAATTTATTTAAGCTATAACGCAATAACATTGTTGTTTTTATTTTTATATCAAATTACCTCTCCTTGTCGTGTTTTTATATCTGTTTTACCACCCAAAACCATCTTTTAGATGCGTTTGGATGTGGCTTTAATGTATTGTACACTGTGGACACTGACTGAAGCCTGCTGCAGCTGCTGGACAGTCTCTACAGCACACAGAGCTCCATATTCTGCACAACCAATACATGCTTTTCTGCTTGCACAGTTTATAACTGTCTGCACTTTGTCCTGTTTCTTCGCCCTGCTGAAAAATCCAGCTTAAACCAGCCTAAGCTGGTTGACTGGTTTTAGCTGGTCGACCAGGCTGGTTTTAGAGGGGTTTTGGCCACTTCCAGGCTGGTTTCCAGCCATTTCCAGCCTGGTCTTAGCTGGTCAGGCTGGGAGATGACCAGCTAAAACCAGCTTGACCAGCCTAGCCAAGCTGGAAGTCCAGCCAAAACCAGCTATATCCAGCTTAAACCAGGCTGGTCAAGCTGGTTTTAGTGGCCAAAACCCCTCTAAAACCAGCCTGGTCGACCAGCTAAAACCAGCCAACCAGCCTAGGCTGGTTTAAGCTGGATTTTTCCAGCAGGGCATTGTTTGTGGTTCTTTATTTATTTTAACAAAAGTGTCTGGAACTAAAATGTAATGAAAAAAAAGCATTTTCAATATTTTTTAATATTTTATGTTATTTATTTACACAGCCATAATTATAAAATTAGTCGTAGTAGTAATCGTAGCAATAGTAATACCAGAATGGGAAAAATCCATTTAATCAAAATAACCCAATACATTGGATTAAAATAACCCATAGTTGAAAAGGTGCTTTAATAACCTATAGTTGGGCTATATGTTGTATTTTTTAACCCAACTGTTTTAACAGAGCACTAACACATACATAGAGATATAGACACAAAGACTACTCACAGTTATTTGCATTCAAAACAAAAGTGCTCTTTGACATAGGCCTAATATAGGTGCGTGTACTGTGTACATTTGTAATAAACATATGCATATATTTGAGAAAATGTTTAACATATATACACACTGTAAAAAATCCTGGTTGCCTTAATTTTTTAAGCTGAATCAAATTAACCCTATGAGTCCAGTGAACTTAAAACAGTTTACTTAACTTATAAAATTAAGTTAGAGCATGATTACCTTAGTTTAATAAGTTACAATGAAATAAAAACATTCACTGTCAGGACTAATTGATCATATCATTTTTACAGTGTAATTATGTGATACAGATTATATATATATATATATATATATATATATATATATATATATATATATATATATATATATATATATATATATATATATATATATATATATGTGTGTGTGTGTGTGTGTGTGTGTGTGTGTGTGTGTATATATATATATATATATATATATATATATATATATATATATATATACAGTTAAAGTCTGAATTATTAGCCCCCTGTTTATTTTTTCCCCAATTTCTGTTTAACGGAGAGCAGATTTTTTCAACACATTTCCAATCAAACTCATCTCTAATAACTGATTTGTTTTATCTTTGACATGATGACAGTGAATAATATTAGACTAGATATTCTTCAAGACACTTCTATACAGCTTAAAGTGACATTTAAAGGCTTAACTAGGTTAATTAGGGTAACTAGGCAGGTTAGGGTAATTAGGCAAGTTATTGTATAACAATGGTTTGTTTCTAAACAATTAAAAAATAAATAGCTAAAAGGGGCTTATAATTTTGACCTTAAAATGTATATTAAAAAACTAAAAACTGCTTTTATTCTTGCCCAAATAAAACAAATAAGACTTTCTCCAGAAGATAAAACATTATCAGAAACATTGTGAAAATTTCATTGACCTGTTAAACATCATTTGGGAGATATTTAAAATAGGAAAAAAAAAAAATCAAAGGGGGGCAAATAATTATGACTTTAACAGTACATATATATACATATATGCAAAAAAAGTTCATTATTATTATAACCAAACAACTCATTTACATATGTAAATACTTAGCGTGCATTAATTATAAATATTGTCTTTGTTGAGCATCTTTGAAACTAATATTTAAGCACTTATTCATGTGAATGTTTTACGCTATTAGTAATGATCTTAATCTTTACTACATCTTATAGTAAACATAATTTAATTTAACAACTCATTTGCATATAATAGCTAGAGCGCATTAATTATAAGTAATGAGTTAGTTGAGCATCTTTGAATTAAATGTTTAAGCTCTTATATTTAATTGTTATTATTATTATTATTATCATCATTATTAATTTATTTGATGGTCAATCTACTTAAATGCGTTATGTTAACTTAATGGATTTGTGTTGGGACCAAGGCAAGGCAAGGCAAGTTTATTTATATAGCACATTTCATACACAATGGCAATTCAAAGTGCTTTACATAAACAAGAATAAAAGAAACAAGTAAAATAAAAATAAAAACAAATAATAAAAATGCGTAAAAACAAAACAAAACATAAAAACAGGTAAAATGTGATATAAAAGAATGAAGAAGAAGAGAAAACATGGATGAATTGTGTGGAATCCTGCATTTCGTTCATTCGTACATTTCGTACATTTCGTGCATTTTGTACAATGTGACAAAATGACTTGTTTTTGCATTTGTTTTTAGCTGACCTGCCCATTTCGAGCAGTTTCAAACCCTCCTAATCTGCACCCTGGTCTTGGGTTTTGGGAGGAGTAATGGGTGAGCAGTGGTGTGTCTCTCTCTGTGTGTGTGAGATTGTTCCCTTAGATGTTGTTGTCGTTGTTGTAAATCAGTTGTTTGATCTAAAAGTTGAGGTTATCCAGCTCCACAGGCCTCTGTCTATCTGCTGTCCTGCTGTGTAGTAGAAGTCCATCTTCTGTGCAGGGGAGATGAAAAGGCATGTTTGAGCATGTTCTTCTCTGACCATCAGCATGGGCCATCAGTAACAAAAAGGTGTGAATTACGGGGGGGTTTGGCCGGTTTGTATGGCGAGCCATTTAAAGTTTTATTCATTCTCAGGGTATGCATTCATTATATCAACAATTCAGTTCTTGACTGAAACAAAATCTGCATTGCTGATATCCACAATCAAATTGTTGACATCAAAAATCTGCATTCTAGATATCGATAATTAAATGATGAATATCAAAAATCAGCATTCTTGATATCGACAATGTAATTATTAATATAAAAAATCAGCATACTTGATATCGTCAATGAAACTATTAATATCAAAAATCAGCATACTTGATGTCTACAATCAAATTATTAATATCAGAAATCAGCATTCTTGATATCATCAATGAAACTCTTGATATAAAAAAATCAGCACTCTTGATATCGACATTCAAATTATGAAAATCAAAAATCTGCATTCTTAATATGGATAATTAAACTATGATTATCAAAAATCAGCATACTTCATATCGACAATCAAATTATTAATATCAGAAATCAGCATTCTTGATATCGTCAATGAAACTCTTGATATTAAAAATCAGCACTCTTGATATCGACAATCAAATAATTAACATCAAAAATTTGCATTCTTAATACTGACAATCCAATTCTTGACATGAAAAATCAGCATTCTTGATATCGACAATCAAATTATTAATATCAAAAGTTAGCATACTCGATATCGACAATCAAATTGATATTAAAAATCAGCATTCTTGATATCGACAATCAAATTATTCAAATAAAAAATCAGCATTCTTGATATCGACAATCAAATTATTAAAATAAAAAATCAGCATTCTTGATATCGACAATCAAATTATTGATTTCAAAAATCAGCATTGTTGATATCGACAATCAAATTCTTGACATTAAAAAATCAGCATTCTTGATGTCTACAATCAAATTATTAATATAAAAAATTAGCATACTCGATATCGACAATCAAATTATTAATATAAAAAATCAGCATTCTTAATATTGATGATCAAATTCTTGATAACAATAATCAGCATTCTTGATATCGACAATCAAATTCTTGATATCAAAAATCAGCATTCTTGATATCGACAATCAAATTATTAATATAAAAAATCAGCATTCTTGATATCGACAGTCAAATTGATATCAAAAATCAGCATTCTTAATATCAACAATCAAATTCTCGATATTAGAAATTACATTTCTGATATCAACAGTGGAATTTTCAATACCAACAATTGTATTTTCACTACTTAAATGTCTCCATAAGCTGCCATTCAAATTTAATTGTTGATATCAAGAATTGATTTCTTTTGATTGAAGAATTGATTGAT